ACACACACACACACACACACACACACACACACACACACTGAAGAAATATTTGAGAGAGTCCTACTTCAGACATTGGGAAGCACAGTACATTTCCATGATGAACACAATGGATACTTCATCAGCTAGCCAGTCATCAGGTCATTTATATCCTCATTTGCCAACACTTCTGAGATCAATAAATTCAGAATCCCATTCCAGAGCAACACAGAGCTTTTAGCCACAATCATCTTCAGGAAATTCCATGCCATTCTCTCAGGTCCTGAGGACCATCTGTCCTAGATATGTTCTGAATCGTCTCAAATACATATTGACCCTCCTTTGAACTTTCTCCTTAAAAGAAGACAGTCCATATTTCAAGAATATATGGATCCCTGGAACACTTTGGCTCTGCTTCAGAGCTTCAGATCAATGAACTTTGTGTGTGTTGAAACTTCACCAAATGAGTTATGTTGTTCCTAGCCCTTTGAATTATTTGACATTGGAAGAGTATAGTAAGTAGTTCAGGGTTTTTCCAATTTTTAACCATGACCCTCAGTGAGAAATAAACTGCACTGTATCCCAACATACACACACCCCAAAAGTTTCATGAAAAATATTAATATAAGAATATTACAGGTAATACACCCTGTTAGTGTTTCTATCCTTTTCTATTCTATTAAGTGTTTTAATGATAACCCCAGGCATTAAATCACTAGTTCTCAATCTTGACTGTCTGCTGGAAGATCTGGAAATATTAACCATTTCAATGGCTAAGTCTTGCTCCCAGAGATTATGATCTCATTGGTCTGGGATAGCCTGAGCAGATGGATTTTAAATGCCTCCTGAGAAGAATTTAATATGTAACCCAGGTAGATCACCTATACAATAAGTTGATTTCTGAGCTCACAAGTGAATCATGACTTGCAGCTTGAAAAATTGATGCTAATAAGAGACACTAATTTCTAAAGACAATAGGATTTGAAAGCAAACTGATTTGTTTAATGTGCCAAGGACTATCCTGGGCATTTTGGGGATATAAATATAGTGAAGATATTATCTCTGCCCTTGAAGAACTGACAGTCTCATTTTTTAAAATGAGTACATTCATATAGTCATACACTCACTGCCAGCATCCACAAGCCCCCAGGTCCCCTCCCAGTCATGATCCCACGACTAACCCAGCTTCCAACAGCGTAGGTTATTTGTTCCTGTTTTTCTACTTTAAACAAATGGAATCACACATGCATTCTCTATATTAGTCTGTTTTCCCTTGCTATAATAAAATACCTGATGCTAAGTATTTAATAAAGAAAAAAAGTTTTATTGGTTCACAGTTTGGGAGGCTGAAAGTTCAAAATCAAGTGGTCTCCAGGAAGTCTTTGGTGCTGAAGACATCATGCTGGGAGCACAGAAGAGGAGAGATCACATGGCTAAACAGAAAACCAGAGAGTGAGGAGGGCCAGTCTTGCTCTTTTATAAAAATCCTCTCTCATGAACTAACCAGGGTCCTATGAGAACTACATTATCTCTGCCTGAGGGCAATGGCCCCGGTGATCCAATCACCTCCCACTCGGCTCCACTTCCTAAAGGTTCCATCACCTCCAACATCACCACACTGAGGATCAAGCTCATGAACCCTTGGTGTGGACACCCATACCATATCCAAACCACAACATTCTCTTTTCTGTCTCTCTTCCTTAGGTCAACACGGTATTTGTAAGACGTGTCCATATTATTAGAAATCATTATAGCACGTTCATTGTCATTACTGTATAGCATTCCACATTCAGTGGTTTATTCTTGCTACTGTTAAAGGATATTTGGGTCCTTCACAGCTTGGAGTATTCTAATATACATATCTGGTAAAGATAGACACATTTTTTGTCAGATACATATATAAGAATGGAACTTCTAGGCTATTGTTTAGACATATGGACAACTTTAGAAGATCTAGCCAAACAGATTCCAGAGTGGTTGCGACAATTTACACACCCATGAGCAAAGCCCGTGAGTTCTACTTGCTCCACGCCTTCATCGACACAGCATGATCAATCTTTTTCATTTTAACCATTCTAATGAGTGTGTGTTAGAATGCTCTTTTAAAATAAATCATTGTTAAGTAAGAAAGGCAAGAAAAAAAAATTGAATTAACATATACGATGGCTCTGAATCATGCATGGACACCCTTCCTGGAGTGAGGAGTTCACAAATGTTCCAAAATCTCCCAAGAGGCCTGTGTTCTGGGTGTTGCTTATCTGGCTCATAGTGATGTCTCTCTCTCCCACTCTGCCTCTTGCCCTTACTCTCATGCTGTCTGCTTCCTGTACCCAGCCTGGGCCTGACCTGGCGAGACATGCAGCATCTGACCGTGCTCACCTCCAAACGGAACCAGCTTCACGACGAGGTCCATCAGTGGCGGCGAAACGGGGTCGGCCTGGAGTTTAATCACCTCTTTGGCTACGGGGTCCTTGATGCAGGCGCCATGGTGAAAATGGCTAAAGACTGGAAAACCGTGCCTGAGAGATTCCACTGTGTGGGAGGCTCCGTGCAGGACCCTGAGTAAGTGGGGCCGGAGGTTCTTCTGTTACATGTGGAAAATGCACCAGTGACAGTGCTGTGACGTTGACAGCACTATCGGATTTCCTCTCCAATCAGGCACTGGATTTTATGCAGGGAAAACCAATTTTTAGGAAGAACTGTAGAGTCGCACAACTCCAGGGAGCACCATTTACACAACAATATAATTGTGTAACACGGAACCCCCTTTTAGGTGTAAGCTGTAGAATTTTCAGTGGCTCATGTCATTATTTTTAACCACACAAATCAGCCAGTGCCACGGGCATCCAGATCAGTGAACAGAATGTGACTGATATCCCAGAAGGACCCCCCCCATCCTCTTCCATCATCATCTCCTCTAGGATAACCACTAACCTTACTTCTAACTCCATAGATAGTTCGCCTACTCCGTAATTAGTATAAATGGAATATATACTATGTTCTCTTTTATATCTGGATTCTCTTGTTCAGAATTATGTAACAGAGATCTAGTGTGTCCTTGTAGTTTATTTTCTTGGCCAGTGTTTCAGTGTGTAGGACCGTTTATGTTTTCATTCTACTTGTGGGACAGTGATTGTATTCAGAGTGCGGCCAATCACCATTTGGTGGGATTGGAATGAGTTCTCCACCCAGGATCGATGGGTTGGTCAGGTGTACCTACTTCCCTTCTCACTTCCCCATAATGGTAAAAATATTGGAAAAAAGCCTTCCTCTTCAATTTTTTTTCTCTCCCCGTTGATCCATCAGTAAGATAGAGATTGCAATTCTTATTATAAATGAGATATTACATACTATGAAATACACAGAACATGTTTATTTGTGTTTTGATAACTGTCACCTAATCAAGAGATAGAACATTCTATCTACCTGGAAAGATTCCTTGTGTTCCCTTCCAGTTAGTCCACACACACCATAGACAACCATTGTTCTTATTCCCCTCACCATAAGTGGGTTTTGCCAGTTCTTGGACTTGAACAAGAATCACATGGTATGAATGAATGCTTTTTCCAATTTCTTTTAGTCAAATTAGGGGTAGGAGGTTTATCCAAGTTTTTACATGTAGTGGCTCATTCATGCTCAACACAGCATGATCAATCTTTTTCATTTTAACCATTCTAATGTATGTGTTAGAATGGCTGTGTGTCCCATTGTAAGAATACACTTCTGTAGTATTTAAATACTGGTTAAGTTCATCTTATTCACCATTTTATCCACCTACTGTTTCTGCCTTACTTCTGTTGATCATCTGAGTTTGAATACACCTTACACTTTGGCAGTATGAAGTCTATAGATCGAACCCATCTCAAGATAGCATTTTTAAACTTATTAGATAAATGGGTAAGATTACAAATGAGGCCAATTATTTTGAAAGCCAGTTACAAAAATAATGTTTTAAAAAGCAAATTTGTGATACAGCAATGCATATATTTTTTATCAATACATTAAGTAAAAAGTTTTAGTGGCAAATCTAAGGTCCACAATAATTTCAGAACATTGATAATGAACAAAATGCTCCTAGAAGACACACACAATGACCCGGGTGGGATATGAAAATCTCTGAGCTTCTGGACAATAATATCTGAGGTAGTGCTAATACATTCTGCAACATTATCTAAATTCATAATTGAAACAGAAGCTAAGTTTCTGTTATAGGTTAGTAAAAACTGAGGAAGGGTTTTCATAATCTAAATTATTAGACTCCCTAAATTCTGTCTTTGGGCCTCAAAACAACATCAACTCCATGGAAGGCTGTCAAGACCTTGAGGCCACTAAACCACCTGCTAAGTCCACTTGACAATCGTCTGCAGCACCCCCCTAGTACCACATGCAGACCACATGGCGTCACGATTCCAGATTCTAGGTGTCTGAGGGGGGGTCCTGGGAGAATGCTGCTAAGAAATGCTTTTGAATAGTCCCCGGTCTGGCCCTTGACTTCCATCATCTCTTTTCATCACAGAAGGTTGACATCACCAGTCTCGATTTGAAGGTGAGAAAAGAGGCTCAGAATATGAAGTAAAGGGCCCTAGTTCATGGAACCAGCATCCCATCCATTCTATAAGACCTGAGGTCTAGAACTTCATTCACTGTTGCAGAGAGAAAGACTTAACAGGTGTCCACACCTTTACAGATGTTCTGCCAGCAGCAGGTGGGGCCAGAACATTCCTTGCAGCAGTGCAGCTGGAGCACTATCTGCATTTGGCTGCACAATGAATATGTCCTCAATTTTAAAAGGTGGCACTGTTGCAGAATTGAAAAGGACAATGAGCTTTAAATACCCTGGGACCTTCTTAGTCCAGGTTCATATTGAAATGAGATCTTATTTTTTCAGACAAGCCAGACAGAACTCCAAAGTTCCTCAAGGATTGTGTGTTTGTAGGAAAGGGCCAGAGAGAGGCACCATGGGAGGGAGGGAGAAGAGAGAAGGAGGGCACATGCAGAGATGAATGACAAGTGATCTCCCAGTTTCTGAATAGCGTTCTGTCATGATCTACACCTACATGTGGAACACGGAGTCAGAGGGAACATGAAGAATAATGTCCATCGTTTAAGGAATCTGAGACCCAGAGTTTTGATCATCCCGACATCTCACAACTAGCCAGGAACTGTTTCACTCATAATATTGTTTCCAGTTAAAAGAAACTGGAAAGCTACTCTATTGGCACAGACTCAGCTGGGCTCTTCTCAAGGACAGGATCCTTGTCTCTCTGACTACAGATATATTCCCAGTTTCTAGAATCGTGCTGGACACTTAGACCTACATTAAATATTTTTGAACAAAGGAAGAAATGAAAATATCTAGCCAACATCACCTAGGCACAAAGAAAACATGCCACAGGAGCAGAGGACCAGCCAAGCAAATGGGAAGAAGCCCCAACATGATTGGCAGGGATCTGCGTTCCCCCGCTGCCCTCTGAGCCCTTGTTCACCCCTGCATCTGAATTTGTTCTCAAATGCAAGTGAGTTAGGTCTAGGGCAGATATGTTGGTGGAAAACTCAGAGGCTAGACAGAAGGACAACCCATGGTGGGCTGCGCCACTTGGCAGGGGAGGTTCTTATTATTTTAAATCGCCCTTCCAAGGGGGTTGGATAGAAGAACCAACATCCCTGGAATTGGCACTTTCCATGACATGCCAGGCTGCACAGAAACAGCGTGCGAGGTTGAAAGAGTAGTGATTGTCAGGTTTATAGGTTTCCTAAGCATTTATCTTCTTAGAGAAGGAGTCAATTTGAAAAGCAATTTTCTAAAGAGACTTTATCAAGAGAGCCGGTGAAAGGTGCTCCACAATGCTCACAGGGGAGATGCAACTGGCTGTGACGAGCTGCACCTGCCGGTCGAATGAGACAGAACAGGCCTGCCCATCAGCCAACAGGGACAGCATTGAGCTGGGACAGCCCCCAACCCTTCTGCGTACCCTAAGAGAACTGTCTATGCAGCTCCTTTACAGCACAGCTAAATGTACACTCCAACTCTGAATTTTAGGTGAATTTAGAAATAAATGTTAAAACCTGGTATGAATGCCAGAAGCAGCAAGGGGAACTAGGAAAAGAGCATCCTCAGCCACCTGACAGCTGTTGACCATGGACGGCACTGCTGAGCCACAGTGTCTTCCTGTGTGGGTCACCGTCCACCTGACTCTCACCCATCAGAAAGAGGAAATCTCACAGTGACCACCCACTGAGTGTTCTCATGTGACTTCCATACTGCAGACATTTTAGGCGCTTGAGAAACAGCAGCTGTTAGCTGTCATGGTGGTGCACACCTGTGATCCTAGCTCTCAGGAGGCTGAGGCAGGAAGTTCCCAAATCCAAGGTCAGTTTGAACAGCTTACCAAAACCGCATCTCAAAATACATAAACCAGCAGCACTTAGTTGTAGAGATCAATCCCCAGAACTGCAGAAAGAAAGAAAGAGAGAGGGAGGGAGAGAGAGAGGAAAAGGAAGGGGAATAGGAAAAGGAAAAGGGGAAGGAAGGAAGGAAGGAAGGAAGGAAGGAAGGAAGGAAGGAAGGAAGGAAGGAAGGAAGGAAGGAAGGAAAAGAGTGGCTACTCTCTCTCTCTCTCTCTCTCTCTCTCTCTCTCTCTCTCCTTTCTTGGTGCATGCCTGTAATCCTAGTGGCTGGGGAGGCTCAGGCAGGAAGTTTACGAGTTCAAAGCCAGCCTCAGCAATTTAGTGAAGCACTAAGCAACTCAGTGAGACTCTGTCTCTAAATACAATACAAAATAAGGCTGGGGATGTGGCTCAGTGGCTGAGTGCCTCTGAGTTCAAATCTCAGTACCAAAAAAAAAAAAAAAAGAATGGCTACTATTGCTGTATCATACAGTTGAAGATCCATAATACAAACTGCATTTCACCAGGATCCTTGGGAAACAAGACCTGTGTCTACGCACCAGGCAACCATGAATTGTATGTAATAGAATAAAGATACAAGCCATGCCCAAACCCCAAGGCTTTTCTTTTTAGGACTTGAACATTAGACTTTTGTACATCATCCCTATAAGGTCAGAGAGAAGCTCTTCACTCTCTTGATAAGCTCCTTATTTTCTGTTACAAATGAGCTCCAGAATGTGGCCTGGGAACCAACACCTTGTGACTATTCAAAGTATCTCTGCAGAGCCTTCTCTGGTTCCATAGCCTCCTCATATTTTAACCTTCTTATAAATTGACTCTTCGATGCAGGTATCTTCTTTTTCTTTTAGAATGATTTTTGTTCCTTTTCTTCTTGTAAAAGCAATGTGTGGTCACTATAAAAGAAATCAGAAAATACAAGGGAGCAACAAAAGTAATTAAGAAGTACTTGATAAATGCCAGAAGTAGCATGGGGAGAGTGAAAAGGGTATCCTTGGCCACATTCAGCTGTGGCCATGGATAGCACTGCTAAGCACAGTGTCTCCCTGTGTGGGTCAGTGTCCACCTGACTCTGTCCCATCAGGAAAAGGAAACCAGTTGTCCCTTGGTATATGTGGGGAGTTGGTTCCAGGACCCTCCACAAATACTCAAATCCACAGATGTTCAAGTCCCTTGTATAAAATGGCATAGTATTTGCATCTGACCTATATACGTCCTCCCGTATGCTTTAAATCATCTCTAGATTACTTCTATAATACAATATCATTGTGTTTGTCAGCTTTTTGTTGCTGTGACCAAAATACCTGACAAGAACAACATAGAGGAAAAGTTTATTTTGGGATCATGGTTTCAGAGGTTCAGTCCTTGATCAGCCGATTCCATTGCCCTGGGCCCAAAGTGAGGCAGAACATCATGCCCAAAGGGTTTGGAAGAGGAGCACTGCTTCACTCAAGGCAACCAGGAAGCAGAAAGAGAATGGGGAAAGGGCCATAGGGAAGATGAACCCTTCCAGGCCATGCCCCTAGTGACCCACCCGCCCCCAGATACTCCCCACCTGCCTACAGTTACCACCCAGTTAGTTGATTCCACTAGGATGGACTGATTAGGTCACAGCTCTCATAATCTAATCACTCCATCCCTGAATATTCCTGCATGAACACAGGAGCTTTTGGGGGACATCTCACCTCCAAACCTTAACAGCAATGTTATGTAAACTGCTGTTATATTGTAATTTTTAGAGAATAATTTTTTAAAAATCTATACATGTTCACTAGAGATTTGTTTTTCCAAATTTTCCATCTGCATTTGATTGAATGTGGAGCCCCTGGATTTGAAGCAACGGTGGTATTGTTCCTAGGCTCTGTAAATGCCATGCTGAATTGTTCCAGGGCTCTGTAAATGCCAAAAACACAGAGAGAAAATGGAATGGTTTTCTCCATTTCTACCAAGTTTACTGTCCCTGGAATTCACATCAGGCTTCAATTTAATTCCATAGTAACTTAATATTGCCAAAGCTGTCCAATCAAACGTGTTGTCTTTCAGGAGACCCAGCCCCTGTGCAGTAAGCAGTTCACATGGCAGCCTGGGGGTTGTATTTTTGTTTTGTATTGTGTTCTAATTAGTTATACTGAACAGTAGATGAATTTGGACACATTGCACACAAATGGAGCATACCTTCTCTTTCCTCTGGCTGTACTTGGTGCTGAGTCACACCAGTAGTGTAATCATACATGTATATAGGGTGATAATATCTGTCTCATTCTACCATCCTTCCCGTCCCCACTGCCCCACCCTTCCCCCTCACTCTACTCTGCACAATCTAAAAGTTCCTTCATTTTCCCTACCCCCATCCTACTATGGATCAACATCCACTTATCAGAGAAAACATTTGTCCTTTGATGTTTTGGGATTGGCTTATTTCACTTAGTTTCATCCATTTACCGGCAAATGCCATAATTTCATTCTTCTTTAAGGCAGAGTGATATTCCATTGTATATATGTACCACATTTTCCTTATTCATTCATCTGTTGAAGGGCATCTAGGTTGGTTCCATAGTTTGGCTATTGTAAATTGAGCTGCTATAAACATTGATGTGGCTGTGTCACTGTAATATGCTGAATTTAAGTCCTCTGGGTATAAACCAAGGAGTGGGATAGCTGGGTCAAATGGTGGTTCCATTCCAAGTTTCCTAAGGAATCTAGATTGGGGGTTTTTTAAGTAGACAACTCCTCCACAGCATTAAATAATCCATACTCCACAGGGCTACCTGGCATGGCCTCTGACCCCTACACACATTCCCAACCCCCAAGGCTTCTAGGAAAATGTGTGATTCCTAACACAATTTTGTATGTTTGATCTCATTTAGACTTGCCTGCCTTTTAGCTTTCTCATTCTATCATAAGTGATGATCTGAGTACTAGAACAACTTCTTTCTTGCATGGAGGACCTTACTGTTAATTCACAGAATCTCCAATGTGTTGTAGGCTGTGGATCTGATTTCTAACTTATGTGACTGTCCCAACTTTGATTCTTAGCCAATCAAAGAAATACTTTCAATTTTCTCTTAGGGAAGCAATGTCACTTTTCTGCCAGTTTCTACAAATTGACTGTAAGGTGACTGTCACTGGTGACTCTAGACCATATGAACCGTGAGTGCAAACTAAGACAGAAAACAATCTTTCTTAGAATTCAGCTTATGTTTTGAATCCTGAAGGTAATAGTGACTATTGCATTTGACAAATGACAAGTGAATTTTATAGTTTCTAAAATGGTTATTACTCAGTATAATGGCCTCTGGTTGTTGGCTTGTGGATTTCCTTCTTGAGTTTTTCAAAGAAGCCCAGACTACAAGACAGGAAAGGAGATCAGCTTCCATGCAGGACTCAGAGCTGGGACCTCTTCCTATTATTCTCTATGACCTCCCACTCCCTTCTCAGAGAGTCCCAGGGCCCTTCTGTCTGCACTCTAGAAGGAAAGACCCTATTCTGGACCTGCCTGCCATCTGTACCGAAACCCAGTGGTGATGCTTCCTTCATACCTTAAGGGTCTGGACTTTCCAGAGATCTCTAGAAAGGTGGAGAAAGTCTATATCACAGAATCTACACTTTCCCCAACTGCTTTCCTAAAGCTTGTGAGCCAGGCAAAAACCCACTGTCCTGGAAACTGAAGTCCAAGAGGCCTCCTGCATGTTGATGTTCTTATCACATTCAGAGTCAACATATATGAACAATTTAGAACTAGCCACATGTTAATACATGTAATTTTATCAAATTACACTTGATAAAATGTAATTAATTAAAATAAAATAAATTTAAAATTCGATTCTTCACTCACAGCAGCTGCATTACAAGTGGCTAGTGTGTCAGAGAGCACCGATAAAAAACATTTCCATGACAGAGGGACGTCCTCTGCCGGTCCAGCTATTTGTAAATACACTATGTATAGGAGTGTGGGTATATAGTCATGTATGTAGCTTTGACCTCTAATATGGGCTGTAAGCCAGTGCCACCAAATTGGATGGTTTCTCCAGAGCCTGAGAACAAAAAGACTACCTCTACCACCATCAATGGCCCTCCATAACCGGTAGATACTTTTACATCACTCAACATACACATCCAGGGGGACGGTGCATAGCATCACTCTGTGAGAACTGTCTCATATATTTTAAGTTCCTCGGGAGAGAATTGCTGTTATTGATGGGCTGCAGTGTAAGCTTTGGCAAGCCCTCCCAAGATGACAATCTTGATTCAAAGAGCAATAAAGAAACAAAGCTTGTCTCTGAGCTGGGTGCATGACCAGCATCTTTTTATAGAAGTGTTTTTGCAAGATGTGTGTTTAAAAATATCTACCACTGGAATGGGGATGTAGCTTCAGTGGTAGAGCATTTACCTCACATGCACAAAGTCCCGGGTTCAATCCCCAGCATGATTTCTCAAGAGGGTCCAACTCTGTGGACAAAGACATCCCAAAAATCTGGTCATGTCTTATAGAACTGTCATTCACCAGAATTAATTTACCCAGTTTCAACTTTTTTTTAAATGGTAGAACAGGTTGAGTGTCTCTAATCTGAAAATCAAAAGTATTCCACAATCCAAACCTTTTTGAACACCAACATGATGTCACAAGTAGAAAATTCTAACCTAACTCATGTGATGGGCACTAATCAAAATGCAGGTACACTAAAATGTTGCTTAAAATTATCTTTAGGCTGTGTATATAAGGTATACAGGAAAAACACACTTACATACATGAAATGCATGTGTAAGCGTGGGTCTACATTATGTTTATGCAAATATTCCAAAATTTTAGAAAAGTTCGAGATCTAAGATACTTCCAGTTCATATTCAATCTGTAATCATAATCATATCAGCAATATATTCTGTTTATCAAGGAAATTAAAAGAAAAGTATGGATTCTTGCCTCAAGTCATTCCTGAGACAAAACTTGAGTGCATGGACAGTTTTTGAGAGATGATCCCAGGAAATACACAGAAGTGAGGATGCAAAACAGGAGACTGGAAAAAAGAATAAAGAATGCATGACTGAGCACGTTGCCACCACTGGCAACTAGAATCAACCCCATAGAGGACACTGAGTTGTCCCATGGAGGGATAGAGAAGTCAGAGTGTATTTGTGCACCACATCCTGTCAATCATTGGAAGAGGGATGCTCCTAAGAGGTTAAGTCACTGGCACCTTTGGACAGACTAAGCATGTTCCCATGGTGTAAGCAGGGGAGAAGCTGGAGTTGTTCATGCATGAGATGGGAAGCAATCACAGTGCACTGGATCTGCAGTAGCAGGTGACTCAGAAGGGACTTAGAAGACATGGGAGGGGCATCAACAACATCTGCTACATTCCCATTTTACGGGAAAGTTTCTGAGCATGGTAAATTGCTCAGACTCACACAACTGGAATGGAAGCTAAACCCAGGTCTGTCTGATTAACTCCAAAGCCCCCACTCTTTCTGCCTTCAAACCCCCTCACAAGGTACACACCTTCTCTTATTTTATCTCTTTGCCCTTTTGCCCTCAGGAAAATACCATCCACTGGCAAGCTGGTGCTGACCCTCACGACTGATGCATGTGAAGGGAAGGAGAATTTCGTCCGCTACCTCGAGCACGTCCAAGCTGTCATCACAGTCAATGCAACCAGAAGAGGAGACCTGAACATCAACATGACTTCCCCTATGGGCACCAAGTCCATTTTGCTAAGCAGACGTCCAAGGGATGACGACTCCAAGGTGGGCTTTGACAAGTGGCCTTTCATGACCACCCACACTTGGGGGGAAGATGCCCGAGGAACCTGGACCCTGGAGCTGGGGTTTGTGGGCAGCGCACCCCAGAAGGGGGTGCTAAAGGAGTGGACTCTCATGCTGCATGGCACACAGAGTGCCCCATACATCGACCAGGTGGTGAGGGATTACCAGTCCAAGCTGGCCATGTCCAAAAAGCAAGAGCTAGAGGAAGAGCTGGACGAAGCTGTGGAGAGAAGCCTGAAAAGCATCCTAAATAAGAACTAGTGCTGCACTTCTGCCTCCACCACCTCCTTCCCTTCCCATTCTCTGCCTCTATCCTTGCTCCACATTTCTGGCAGGCACCTAGCAATTACTGTCACCCCACACAAGCAATTCCATCTTCTTGAACTGCAGCTTTGCTCACTATCAATGATTATTTTCATTACAATGAAAGCAACCTTTTTTTTTCTATGACCCAAATATAATGTTCCCACTAACATCTATGTCCTATGTGTTACTCTACCCTCTTTATTTCTGTCATTCAAATGGGTGATATCCTGCAAACAAAACTGGCGCAGCTTTCCCCTGAAATTTTTTTTTCATATCTGAGAAGAGAAAAGAATGCATGTAAAAAAAAAAAAAGCCACACATAGCAACACCAAGAACGTCTGTCTGTGCTCTCAACTGAGGAACTGTTATGTAACAAGAGAAGTCAAAGCTGATGCAGAAGGCGAGTTCTGCAGCTCTTTAAAGCACAGGGGAAGCTGTTAATCCTTTGGGGAAAGATGATTTGAATTTAGCAAAGTTTTTCAGGAACGTAGATTAAGGTGACATGATGAGAAAGATGTCATCTATAGAGTCCTAATTACTGGACAGGGAAAGAGATTTAAAAATGAGCGTTGGAAATCTACCGCCAACACAAAGATTGTAATTCACCCTACTCGGCCAGCATGATATAAAACCTAAATAGCTTGGCTGTAAATTCACCAGCTACTGCTCTGAGTTATGGTAAAAAAAAAATCTGCTGGAGCAGCTCAGTTCTTTCCAAGTTGTCACAGAGTTCATCCCTCCCACCCCCCACTCCCTGCCAGTTTTCAGGGGTTCCTCACATAACTATCCAAAAATGGGGAAAAATGAAGGCGGGCCTCACAACATGTCTGGTAAAGAATAGTTTGCTAGTTTTAAAATAAGAACATTCCCTTTCCTAAGTCACTTTGGGACTTCTTGATCTTGATGTAAGAGATAAGGTATTATTTTTGACAGTTTTATACACCTCTACATGGGCTTTGATTTCCTAAAAGTATCCCTGGAAAGAAATGTCTTGTTCCCTCGTGTCATGATGTCATAGATGTATTGGGGAAATGGCCTCTGTTCTGAAGAGGTGTGTGAGGGATGGCAGGGGCACATTTGAAGGTAGGAGCAACCATCTTTCCATGGACCTCCATTTATGAGGGGCCTCGTGGGCCAAGAGGGGAATAAGCCAACTCATCCCCCAGTGACTTGAGGTCTCGAGAAGCAAGAGGAGCCCTCTTATAGGAAAGCACAGAGTTGCCATCTTGGCAATGCAGAAATCCATGAGCCCTTTTGACATGCCACCCAAAGGTTACAGTTATCAAATCCAAAAGACGCAATTTCATTGCCAAATAAGTATTACTGAAGTGACCTGTTGTCACTTTTTGTTCCTACCCAAGGATTGGTTTCTCACCCCCATCCCAGTGCCCAGCCATTCAAAAAAAAAAAAAAACTATTCATTCTCAACCACTCCTGGCTCCATTCCTCCCTTCCCAATGGAGTATGTGCTTGGCCTGGAGTCAACTTTACTAAAGCCAGTAGCACAGGAGCGCTGGGTTAGATTCCCTGAAGGTGCAACTTTAAGAGAGAATTCTGGAAATGTCACTTTCTTTTCTCCCCCATACTGGCATGAATTTCTGTCTTCTCTAACACCTTGTGACTCACCCTTGCATCATGCTTTAAAGTGTAATGATATTTATGATTTTTTAAAAGAAATTTATTACTTGTTGCAAAGGTCTTTTTAAACCAGTTTAAAGAAAAATAAAATATAAATGGAAATCATTGAAAATTCATTTCACATTAATGGTCTGAAAATAAACCAAAGGACATTATGTGTGCATGTGTGTATAAGTGCACACAGAAATATTATATATACATATGTAGACTATATACATGTGTGTATATATGTGTATATATATATACACTTGTATAAATGTATATACACACATATACTTAAAATGTGTGTATGTGTAACAGACACCATATTCATCTCTAAAAGAACATTCAGAGAATATCAAGATGATTCTGGCTGAAGACAAAGGCCGGTGGAAATTCAGGTGAAAATCATCAATTCCCATTTTGTCACCTCTGTAATTTTGCAGCTCTCTGTATAAACATTAAATGTCTTATATAAGCAGCAAAAATATAAAATAGTTGTCCATATTTTCACAGTTGTGATATAATTTATGAAATTAGAGAGTAACTTATCAGCTTCTTAATAGAAATGGCAAGTTTTGATATGAGTATACAGTATATAAAAATATATATAGTGCTATATATAAATATTTGGTCTCTATTTCATTTTTTTGCATCAGTCTTAACACTAAACTATGTCAAGCTAGTGATGTTTTTATGATATCCCTGATTCTAATGCAAGAGACAGCTATTTATAGTCATTTATTTTAAAAAATGAAAATAAGTGAATAACGATTAATCAGGTTAACATTGTTACTTCCTGTGACAAAATTTTATAAGTAAATTTAAAATGATATGTTGTAAATTAGGAGGCTCAACAATAAAACATTACCTTCCAGAAATTATGTGGGATGTGCTGTATCTTACATGAAAACACTTTCCATTGATTGTAGAGAAGATAACAAAAAGTTTCCAGTGAGAGACCTAAAAAGCTTTCTTTAGTAAATATGCATGAAAGACATAATTAGCATATAAGTCATACACAAATTATGATCAACAGCAGCATTTTTCAAACTCAGGTGACATCCATTAGTACACTGTAAAATCAATTTAGAAAGTTAATACCAGGATTTTTTAATAGGATAGGATACGGTCTGGTAGGGCAGAGTAAGGTAGGGTAAACTGGATCATGCACATTAAGGATAAGTATTGTTTTCTGAAATATTTTTTTTCCAGCGGTGTGTATGTTTGTGTGTCTGTCTGTCTTTGTCTGAGTGTGTGTGCTGGTTCACAGTGTAAAACACATTTCTTATTATGGGTCACGGTCAAAGATCTTTTAGAAACACCATTCTAGACCACATTAGTCAAGCTAGACTAAGTCATGCTATAGTAACAGCCTCAGGATCTCAGTGATTTAATACAACAAAGACTGATCATTTCACACAAATTCTAATAAGGATTCAGGTGACCCCTATGGCCATAGACCTCCTAGTGACTAGAGCATCCAGGTTACTTCAGTCTTCTTGTTTGTAATCATAATATGAGGATGCTACAATCACCATGCAGAAGAGGACCCATTAAGAACTCTCATCCACTCCTCTACATTCAGCCTGACGATGTACACACCAATTCCCTACCCATTATTCACTGGCCAGAGCTGGCCAATGACCATGCCTGTACACAAAGGACCTAACAGATACTTGGGGAGCTTTAGAATTTCTACTGCAACACAAGACTTTTCTGTTTGTTTGTTTTGTTTTTTGGTGCTGGGGATTGAACCCAGAACTTTTGTATATACTATGCAAGCACTGTACCACTGAGCTACAACCCTAAAACATTCTTAAGTTCTGATTTATGTGGTAGCTTCTCTTCATGAATGTTACTTGTGAATATTATTACAAACTAATATTTACCCCATATGACCACATGCTGTTTTAGAAAAATCTTATTAGTTCACTATAAAAGTAATTTTGTTATTTTGTCCTCTGATACGCTGTTCATTAAATTCAATTATTAAAAATTTGAAGAGCACTTATGACTAAAAACAGACATTAAAGGGTATCAGGCCCAAAGTTTGGTCTTGTGAGACTGAGACACTTCTGATATTTGAGCACATTTAAAAAAAAAAAATTGGTAAAATTCTTAAAAATTACTATTCCACGTCATCATTACTATCACTCATATACATTAATGATGGGTTTTCATGTGATCAATGCACTCATTGATTAGAGTGATTCCATGAAAACCACACAGGACAAAACTTTCAGGACACATAGCCATGTACTCTATATTAAGGGGAGGAAACGTGTATTAGGGAAATTGTTGAGTTCACAGCCCGATGAAGCTTTTGGATGCAACAAGTCTAATTTGCTAGAAATTTCAGAAAATCAAGACTCGGAAATTAGGAAAAGTGGTTGTGATAGAGTGTGTTTTAGTCAGTTTTTTTGTTGCTGTAACCCAAAGACCCAACGACAACATAGAGGGGGAAAAGTTTATTTTGGCTCATGGTTTCAGAGGTTCAGTCCATATATGGCCAACTCCACAGTTCTGGGTCCAAAGTAAGAGAGTACATCATAGTGGAAGGATGTGACAGAGGACAGCAGCTCTACACATGAGAGTCATGACGCAGAGAGAAAGCTTTCCTCATCAGAGACAAAATATAAATCCCAAAGGCACACCCCCCAGGGATCTACTTCCTCCAACCACAACTTACCTGCCTGCAATTACAACTCAGTTAATCCACATTAGTGGATTAATCCACTGATTAGTTTATACCTCTCATAATCTAATCATGTATTCTCTGAAAACTTTTGCATTGTCTCACACATGAACTTTTGGGGGACACCTCATATAGAAACCATAATAAGGGTAGAGTGTTTTTAAAATTCTGGGAGTGTGAAGCAATATTAGTACAGAATGTCTCCTGCACCAATGTGAAGAATTTGGTTGTAGCCAGCAAAGTGGTTCTCATCACCTGGCAATGGTCCCACTCCACACCCACCCACATCCTCTCGATACCGCATTAGATGCCCAAGAATATTAATCTCAACCTAGGGGATACACATACCTGATCTATAGAAGGGAACGCCCTCCTCCTTATATCACCAATGAATCAAGAAGTACTTGAGATTTTACACTAATCTCTTGTACGTTGAGTTGAACTTTTTCCTTGTGTTCAAAAAAACTCTGATCAGATTTAGTTTCGGATTCATAGGAACCAAGAAACAAAGTCTGACCTGAGGCAAATTCCCCAAACTAACTTACCAGCTCTGGTTTTCCTCTTAGAAGAGTCATAAACCTGGGGATAGAGTGAACTCAGTGGAAAATGTGGGCAGCCCCAAAAGGTGATGATTCAGTGGTGCTTAATTCCTAATGCTCAGCCCTACATGGTTTAGGGAGGAGCAGTGTGGGAAAGCAATTAGAAATCTCCGTTCCGAGTTTCGGATGCCAGAACAGCCCAATGTGACTGCCAATTCCTTAGGTCTAATGTCAGCCGTCACCATTTTCCACGAAGGAGGCTCCTGTCCCATCTGCCCTCATCATCCCAGCAGAGAGTGTCCTATCTCATACTGTCCTCAGAGATGTTCCTCTGCATCCAAGAGGACATCCCATGGGCTACTTCAAGCTGGAAGCTAAACCTTACCTTTCTCTTTTCCAGTCCCATGTCCCTGGCTGGCCATAGATGACAGGTAAGCCACCGGGTGAACTCCTGGTCACAAGGATGCAAGCAAGCAGGTGAAGGACATTGTGACTGTTGAGGGTACAATCACAGTAGAGTGATTGGCCTGGGAATAAATCTCAACTCCAAAGCCAGTTTTCTTTGAATGAAACATAAGTTCGTGTGACTTTTGGGGGAGTGTTTGCTTTTATCCAAACCCGAGAAAATGGAGTTAAGCATTTGCACTAATCAAGGTATTCAAATAATGCCCTTTGTCATTTCAAGGTGACTTCTCTCATGAACCACAAATCTGTCACGGAAAATTTTTAGGAAAAACCTGATTAAATTGTCTGCTTCCTTTACAACCATTCCCTATAAACTAAAATCTAAATCCTACAAATTGTAATTGTTATAGCTACAAATTACAATCTCTATAAGCTTCAAATCAGGGGGAGAACCAAATAAAATTTTCCAATATGGAAGAAGAAGGAAGACTCAGGTAGAGATGCCAGATTAGCAGCATCTTCTAATGCATAAATTGAACTTTGAAAACTACAACCCATGGACCAAATCCAGCCCATGACCCGTATTTGCAACAAAGTATAGCTTTGTCTACTTACTTGTATTGTCTGTGCCATGCTACAACAAGGGAGTTCAGGAGTTATAACAAAGACTGTGTAGCCTATGATCTGGCTCTTTAGTGAAAAAGTTGCCAACCTCTGCCCAGTTCTCTCTCCTAACCCACCTGGAGATCTCCTGTTAAGTTTCCACATGGGCCAAAGGCCAGCCATTCTGTCTCTCTGCCAGGGAATGTTCACTTGCTGCAGAGATGCACCAAGCCTACTGCGCAGCAAGCCAGATAAGCATGGCTTCAATGCCTCAGGACCACCTTCAACTGGGGAGGGATGGGAGCTGTTGTACATTTCAGCGTCCTTACCTCCTGCTGGGACAATTGAAAGAATGTTCTACCTAGTCTTTTCAAAAGACTCCAGTAGAAGGAAGTCCCAGTTTCCCCCAGTGGTGACCTGCTCGTTGATGTATCCTATGACATATTCCTTCCTTGTCTCATCTCCACTTCTTTATAAATCATGAGGCAGAACCCACAATAGTGATTTTAAGAAAATTTAATAATCGGGCACCATAAACTGAGTATCAAGAATTGTTACCTAGTTAATTCAAAGGTCAAAAGAGGAAATATCACATGGACCAAGGAGTTTAAGGTACATGGGAGCTAGAGGCCTGCACACAAGCTGCCTGCTGCAATGAAGGTGCAGCAGCATGATCCCAGCCCATGAGGGGATCCCTAGGTCACCTAGCCCTCCAAGGGGGTACTTCAGCCTGTCTTATAAGCACATACTATTAGGACCTAAAAGATGGTGAGCTATACCTGGAGAGGGTAAAGCCAAACAAAACTTTCCCGGAAGTACTTATCAGTCCTGATGGGCCAATTGGTCATCTGAGCTGGGGACAGGGGTCTGGGAACCACCTAGTAGTTGAGTTCCTCTGAGGTTTCCCTCAGGACAGCTGGAACTCTTGTTCCAATTGTGTCTGGCAAAAGCAATGCTTAGAGGTCTTGGAACTGAAGTGATCTCAACCTGTTCTCCAACTCTGAGTGGATAAGAAGCCTAGCTGGCTGGGGTGGGACCCGAATGCAAGTACTAGCAGGCTCCTTCTGGTCAGCACAACTTCAGGAAGCAGCTAGCTTCCACCCTAAGGAGAGAGGTTACAATGAATGCCACTTGGAGCATGGAGAGGAGGCCCATGGTACAGAGACCCAGACTTCTAAGGAGGGGGATCAACAAGCTAGTGAAGGTATCCCTGGGGCCATTGTCAGGAGGCTGGTTCTGAAAAATGCTAGAAAAACTAAAGTCTGGACAACACCGCTGCCCAGGAAGGAGCAGGATGAGGAAGCAGTCAATCTGGTCAGGCTTCTGGGAACAAACACCATTGACGAGGTGGCTATGAAATTGATTTTTCACAGTTCTGGAGGCTGGAAAGTCCAAGATGAAGGCAATGGCAGATTTGGTGTCTGGCGAGGACCCACTTCTGGTTCACAGATGGCACCTTCTCATTCTAATGTCCCATGGTAGAAGGGCATCTCTGGAGCCCCTTTTATAAGACCAATAATCCCATTCATGAAATCTCCACCCCTTGACCTAACCACAGTTCAAAAGCTCCACCTCCTCCTACTTTACCTCAGAGTAGAGACCGCAACATGAATGCAGGGTAGGGGGACATTCAGATGTGGACAGGAACCAAAAGCAAACAGAACAGAGCAGGTCCTTCTCCCTCCCGCTTCTGTGACCTTTCACTCTTCCTTGCTCCCCTCTGACAGAAAGCAGGATCAAGAGTGCAGAGTCCTGGCTTCAGCATGGCAGAGGAGAGAGAAGGGCAGTTTTGGGGCAACGGACAGGAGCATACCTCCCCCGACACTGAGCTTCCTACAACCAAGGTTCTAGCAAACCATTTGCACCCAGAGCTCACTTAGAGTCTGTTTGGGGAACAATCCAATGTAATTCAAACCTGCTTCAGTTCTCTGTTGATAGCAAACCTCAACAATTAGTAGTTATCTTTGGAAACTTTGGGATTGCAAGCAAAAATAAATCATCTCTAATGAAGCAAAAGGCATTATGTCAAAAGCATGTGGAGAAGCTCTCATAACTGAAGGAAATCCTAAAGAACTGGCCATAAACATCTCAAAAAAGGGTCAGAGATTGGAGCAAGTCTGTGGACCTAGATGCACAGCAAGAACCAGAGCACCCTCTTCAGAGGGCAAGCCCAGCGTTTTCAGCCTTGGTCTTACTGGACTCAAATTTCAAAATTCAAAGAGATGGGTATCTGATTGGTTTGGTTTTGTGGTCATTTGCCCAGCTGAAGACCAGAGGAAGGCCGGATATTGTGACTAAGAGTCTGATCAGGGTTGTATTTATTATGGGAAGAGCAGCTCTATATAAAATCAGGACTGTTGCCTAAGAAATGTCAGTATTACTGGGCAGGGAAGGGCAGTGGATGCCAATCAGCTGTCTTAGGTCAGGTTTTCAAGAAACCAACCCCAAGACAAGGAGTCAAGGGCAGGTTTAATTGAAAGACAGCATCTGTGCAGAGGAGCAGAGTGAAATGGGAAAGAAAGGAGACACAGGACATGTTGATAAGTGGTTGTTAAAACTGTGGACATGTGGGGCTCAAACCCCCTGGGGACCTCCAAGAGACCGTCTTTAATATGTTTCCATTATCCCAACAGAGAGAAAAGAGCTGGGGTACTTATGCACCAGGTCCTGTCCAGCCTTGGATGAGTGAGGGCTACTCCCAGAAGCAAGAACGCCCCAGGATTCCCAACCTGCCCAGTGTGGGGACCAAGCAGCTTCTAGGGCCACAGGAAAACCTCAGGCAGAGAGTCACATGTGCTTGAGTGTGGACATGAACGAGAACAGCAGGGCACCAGAGTCAGGTGTTGATACAGCAGCAGTGACTGGAACATTTAGAAATGAGAGGGGCAGGGAGTTCCAATGCAGCTTCTTTAGGGAGGAGGAGCTGGGGGAACATCTCACTCCTAAGGCTGCTTCAGGGAATAGGAAGCCTGTCACTCATGCTATTGGGAGGCCTACTCTTAGCCACCAAGTTTACAACACTTTACATAAAAATGAATGGCTTTGTGCTTATTTTCAGGGACTTCAGGAAGAGTAAATACCAGGAAATGCTATTCTACAGCTTTCCAGGGGACAATGGAAACAAGTAGGGCTAGTGTAGAATAGCCACCAAGAAAATAAGCAAGTGGGGCTAATCCTTGGGACCCTAGGGAAAGGGGGAAGAGACCAAGAGCCAAACTATGTCCGAAGTATATATTGCAGTCAGTCTTGCCTTTCATACCATGGACTCTCCTTTCAAGCTCAGGTGATTCTGCCAGCAAATGAGGCTCACCTGGTCCCTCACTTCCTTCCTACTCTGGTCCCATTTATTTCTCCTGTTTGAACAGGCCATGTCAATTCATACCCCAGGGCCTTTGCACTTGTAGTTCTTTCTGCCTTGAATGCTCTTACCTCAGGTCTATATAAGATGTCCCATTTTGTCATTCAGATCACAATAAGTCACCTCCACACGGTCTTCCCTTAATCGTCTAATCCCAAGTAGACCCCTACTCATTCTAGGATGTAACAATATTTGATTTCCTTCATACTATTGTCTCTATCTGGTTTTCTTACTTAGTTATCTGTCTATTTGTGCATTTTCTTCCTCTGCAACCAGAACGTCAGGACTTTGTGTGCAGGGCCACATCAGATTGTTCTTTGTTGTTTCTCTGGTACCCAGAACCAGGCTAGCATGGAACAGACACCCCATCCATTTTTCTTGATTAATTGATTAAATATAAAAATGACTTTTCATTCCAAAATGATACTCCTTGCCTTTTTAAACAAGAATATTAACTGACATATAATTCACAAAATAAAAATGACTTAATGAGGAAAAGAAAGGGTTGGTGATGGCTATTCATGTTGAATGTAATAGACACACTGGCCCCACTCCCTACCTCCTGGGATCCAGCTAATGGTTTCCATTATTCTTTCTTAAGTTTTTTAATTATAAATATTTCATATGAGATCAAGCACATTCAAGGTGACATGGCCTTAGACAAAGTATTAGTATTATAAACTGTGGAATGGAGTAGATTTTCCATTTATCCTTTAGGGAAAAAAAAAACAGCAAAAACACTTCCTTTCTTGAAATAAAAACCTAAGTGAATTCAGAACAAGATTGTTTAAAGCTTTAAGGAAAGGTGATTCCAATTAGCATTCTGTCATTCATAACAGAAATGATAGAATGTCATTTGTGACTCAATTTTTCTCTCATAATGTGTAGCTATCTTACCAGATTTTTTAAGCCAATGTGATAATCCACTTAAGCACATTCACTTAGTGTCCATAGTGCATTTTGAACCCTCTATGTGAAGGAGTAATTTTTTCAACTGGTGTGAATTAAAATTTATTTTTAACCATGAATAGAAAAATATATGTCTATTGTTATATTGCGTACATGTACAAATATGTAACAATGAATTCCTCTGTTCTGTATATAATGCACCAATAAAAAATTCTCTGGAAAAAAAACTGTAAAAAATTTTTAAAAGAACAATAAGTGCCTAGGGCAAATAAAAATTTGTTTAGGCTAAGAGTGTAGCTCAGTGGTAGAGTACATGCTACATACACAAGGCCCTATGTTCACTCCCCAGCCCCAATAATAATAATTATTATTATTATTCTTAAAGATCCTGATTTGGTATGATTTTTTAAGAATGTGCCACAGTAAGTACTTGTATGCATGTATGTGTGTATATTCAAAAGTGCACATTCACATGGGAGAGGGACAGGTGACTAACTGAAATCATAAATTAAATGGGAAAATCTCCCCTTAACACTTTCAGGCACATAATATGCTCCATGAATATTTATAAGACGAATTCACCAACTTCTAAACCAGGAATTTATGCAGTGACATTCAAACTTGCTTTCTAAAACCCCACCTAGGATTGCAATCTCTGGGTGAGAAAATTTTAAGCATATCACACAAAGTACACATGGTGCCTAATGCAGTGGCAGAAGGCATTGAGGCCCCGCCTATATCCACTCAACCTTACTATTACCACATATTTCCATGCCTGACTTCCAAAGGCTGCCACCTGTACTTCTTTGCCTGAGTGCTTTCTTGGCACCCTAAGAGCCCACCTCCCACTGATGATGAAAGCTGGTGGATCAATGCCCCAGTTCCCTTGCCCCATGCACAGAGTAACTCTGTGGCACTTACTCTCCTCTGTCTCCTCGAGTTGTTCAATGGGATTCAGTTCTACTGGCCCTCTGTGTGGAACGATTTGGCAAAAACCTCCTACTGCGTGCTTTTTCCTCCGGTCTCCCTCTCCACTCCCCAAATGGCACTTCCTAGGACCACATTCCAAAGAAACTTTTACATTCAAAACTATTTGCTTCAGGATCAGCTTCTGGGGAACTGAAATTAAGACAGGTACTTCCAATTAGCTTATCTCTAACAAAACCCTCATTCACTGGAACATGTGCCTGGGCTTAGAATAGAATGAAATGAGCCTCCATCATCAGTGAGCATCTTTCTACATGAAATCCTGATACTGAGGTTTTAATGAATCTCTAAATGAACCATGATGAAGAGCAAGTCTCTCTCCTGAACGAGGATGGGTTGGTGTCCTTTTAGTGGAGCGTCCCTGTCCTGAGTGTGGCTGACCACCCACATTCCCAAGGCCCAAAGAACTAGACCAGGGGCATGATGCAAGCAAAAAAAAAACATTTTAATGACGGTTCATTGACATGCCAGATGGGTCCACCATGATCTAATTCAAACAGGAACCCTCACTCTTTTATCATTTGTTCTAAAATATCAAAGCTTTTTCCCTACGGTGGCCCCGAGAACATTTTCTCCCATTGAGCCTGGGCATTTTAGGAGCCCTTCTCTCCCGATTTCTTGTTTGCCTTTGTCTTCCCAATCACCGTCTCCACAATCACAGCCGTTTCTTCATATGTCTGAATGCTCTCTGTTGAAATCTTCTCAATGGATTCTACCACTTCCACCTTCTTGAAAGTCAATGCCCTGGGGGGGCTTTTATCCAGCAGGCTGCCGCTCTTACTCCCAGGACCCCCTGGTCTACCTTCATGGGCCCCAGCCCTTTGAGACTGGGGTGTGGATGGTCTCTCGGAACCAGGTATTGTCTCAGGACAGGGTTTCTTGGACTTCTCCTCTTCCTTCTGGTCATCGTCTTTCTCCTCAGGACTCTTCACATCTTTGGAATCTGTCCCACTCTCCTTGTCTGTAGTCTCCTCTTCAGCTGGGTGTTCATCTTCTTTCTCCTGGGGACCCTCCTGTCCATCCTCCAAAGGTGGCGTGGGCTGCTCAGGAGTAAGAGTGGGCTCCCCTTCGATGTCAGGATGAGTAGAGTCTTCTTCGGTGGAAATCACTACTCCACCCTTGGCTGGGATGGAGGGGGAATAGAACTCAGGGTCCATATAATTGGCATCCCCTGTGACCATCACGTGCCGCCCTTTGGTGTTGAGGTCAGCAGGGGGCTCGGGCACAGGCTCTTTGGTGCCCTTCACTTTATCCTTGATCATCTTGCATAGTTTCCCAAAGGCTTTGCTGATCTGTCCTCCATCTGGCACATCCTCTGGGTCCCCTTGTTGTGTTAGGAGACTTGCTTCTCCACCCCCTGATTCAAGCTTAAGTTCATCTTCCTCTTTAAGTACCACCTGCACTGGTTTTGTATCTCCCACACGTTTTAATGGTGGGTCTTCCAGAGTTTCATCTGCTTTATCTTGAGCTATAATCTCCTTTCTCCTTGGAATGTTCTTAGGGAGGCCTTTTTGTCTGGGTTTTGCTGCTGTTATATCCTGCAGAGCCCTAGTAAGATCTAAAAAAAATAAAAAAAAAACAACAGGAAGTCAAGTATAAAATTGTCAATAAAAGGGAATAAAAATGCATTCATTGAAAAATATACTAACTGAATTAGAGACAAACATCTAATGCTAGGATGGGATTTACTATATATAGGTCAAAAACAATGGAGTTCTATTGTTCCTCATTCCATGTTGAGGTTCTAGCTCTGCCAAGCTTTGTAACTTTGGTAGACAAGTCAACTTGTTCCTTCAGTGATTCCCCAAAGGGAAAGGAAAGTGCTACTTTTTCTGAAGCTCATAGTTCTACCCACTAGGAACCCATTCCACAAAGTCATTCTCTCAACAGAGTTAGAGAGACACAGGAAAACTGCCCAGGACTCTGAGGTGGTCAGATGTCGTCAGGCTTGGAAATGGAATCCATCCACGGCATATCTCCCTCACTCCACATTTATCCCAACAACCTCCCTTCCCCCTCAGCCAAAATAGGAAGTGATGCTATTAGATACAGAAACAATAGGAATTCTGTGTTCTCAAGACCTACCCATTCCTTCACACTGGAATGGAAACATTAGATGTTAAAGAAAACAAAAATCTTACCCTTTGAAATCTCCAAGGCTTTCCAGCTCTGCTTATACAGTGATTTCAGAACTTTTTTTTATCCCCAGCATCTTTTCCAATCCCTCCCACTGGTAATCCCAGGCCTAAGAAGGACATAGCACCAGCATCTAACATGGACTAACCCTCAATGAGGAGAGCTGAGTGAGTAAAGATGGCAGCCATGGGTCCTGAAGCCATAAAGGAGAGCAGGATGCAGGCAGGGATGTGAAAAGACAACTGGTCTAAGAGGAAAGATGCTTATAGGACCAGCTACAGAATTCCAGGGCCCCATGCAGAAGAATAATGCAGAGTCCTTGTTCAAAATTATTACCAATTTCAGGAGAAGGATGGAAAAGCACCAAGCCAAGATGGACTCTTCTGAGTATGGTCCCTGTGCAGGGGTCATGGGCTCATGGAGCTGGCCCTGGGTGTCTATCAGCAGGACTGCTGCACAACCAACCATGTTCTGACTCTGGAACCCCAACTGCAAAAACCCTGAGCTGGTTCCCTGAGCTGCCTGAGAAACATGGATTTAAAGACTGTATAAAATCCAGCAATCCCACTTGCAGGTATTTACCAAAAGATTTGAAATCAGGGTGCAGAAGAGACACCTGCACTCCCGTGTCTATTGCAGCATTATTCCCAATAGCCAAGACTCAGACTTAAACTAAGGGGCCGTCTACAGATGAACGAGTAAAGAAAATGTGGTAAAAATGCACAAGGAATACTATTCAACCTTTACAAAGAGGGAAATTCTGTTGTGTGAGACAACATGAATGGAATTGCAGAACATTATTATGCTAAGCAAAATAAGCCAGGCACAGAACGATAAATACTGTATGGTTGCACTTATATGTGGGATCTAAGACAATTGAACTCACAGAAGCAGAGAGTAGATGGTGGTTCCCAAGGGCTGGTGGTAAGAAGAATAAGGAAATGATAATCAAAGGGTACAAAATTTAAGTTAGACAAGAAGAATATGTTTGAGGGTTTTTTTTTTTAGTCCTATTGCATGGTCTAGTAAATATAGTTGAAGAATATTGAATATTCCGAAATTGCTGAAAGTAAATTTCAAATGTCCTCACCTCAAAAAAATGTTACATATTCAAGTTGATGAATATGTTGGCCAGCTTGATGTAATTATTCTACCTTGCATTCATAAATCATGACATCATCTTAGATCACATAAAATTTATATAATTATAAATTACCAGCTTATAATAAAAATAAAAGCCCTAAATGTGAAAGTATCAACATTATCACCTTCTCTTCTCTCTCAAAATGTTGTGTTTATTCAAAATGGGAAGATTCAGATATGAGCTGATGCCTCACAGGTGTGTAAAACATTCCAACAAGGCCAAATATGGACCCGGTGTGGTGGCACATGACTGTAATCCCAGCAGCTTGGGAGGTTGAGGCAGGAGGATCACAGGTTCAAAGCCAGCCTCCTCAACTTGGTGAGCCTCTAAGCAATTCAGCAAGACCCTGTCTCTAAATAAAATATAAAAAGGGCTGGGGATGTGGCTCAGTGGTTCAGCACCCCCTGTTTCAATCCCCAGTACCAAAATAAACAAAGACCAAACATTGGAAGGTAGAAGCCATATTTGCCAAACAAGCAGTTCCTGCTGAATTGTTTTGTTTTGTTTTGTTGTTTGTTTGAGATGGGGCTCTCTCTATGGTGCCCTGGTTGGCTTCGAATGCCTGGGTTCAAGAGATCTTCCTGTGTCAGCCTCCTGAGTAGCTGAAATTATAGGTGTGCACCCCCACACCGGCTTCTGCTCAGTTTTGAAGGGAAGAGAGAATGAACAATAAGTGAGCATCTACTCTGCAACCAAACACTGGATTAAACACCTTTGCAAAGATTAAGTTCATTTAATTCATGGAAAAAAATGTAATTCAATATCCATTTCTTATTATAGTAAAACTGAATTGTATTTCTTCCCTCAATTAAATGCCTGATGTTCAAGGATGGCATTCCCAAGGTGGGCTATAACCATAGTCAGTTTTTCTCTTTATAAACTTTTTGGTTCAGTTACTTAGCACCCAAGGGAGCATATCAGAAAGGGAGAGAAGAAGACCTCCCTCACATAAAAGCATTTAATTTACAGATAGATAGGACGAGAGCATGAATGTCAAGGTCAGAAGGAAAGCTTAGATTTTTTTACATTTCTGCTGAGACACAAAAAAGCGGAGACCAGGGTTGGAGAGTGTTACCTTTCCCGCCAGATCCAAGGCTAAGAGAGGAGCCATGACTCGGGGTGAACATGGTTATGGGAGTCTCAATGAAGGCGGAGCTCAGCCTGGCAGAAAGAACCAGAAAGAGAGCATGGTGCCACCTTTAATTCATCAAGCAAACCACACAAAGAGGGTAGGGGGAGGGTAAAAGCAATTGCTATAATTTTGAACAAAACTGAAAAAAGTTTTCTGTAGATCAAGCTCATGAATTATATATAATTGTAAACTGATAGCCACACAGACATTTATACACTAGGTGAGGACATAAAATCTCATTTCTTTGAGCTCAAGTCATAAATGGTGACACATAGCCATGGAAATATTGTACAGTGATTACTTATCATATAAAATGCCACTTCTCTGTTGCATTGGAGTTTTTGTGTTGTTATTCTTTTTGTAATTGAAGAGTGGCCAATCCAGGCTTAAGTATTTAGGGCAAACATGGTATAACTTATTTTTTAAATTTTTTTTAAAAATAATACATGTCACATATAAACAGAAGGAAAAATGTTAAAAGCAACTGAGATAAAATGTAAACAACTGATGAATCTGGGTAAAGTATATTTAGGAATTATTCTTGTAACACTTCTATCAGTATCAAAATTCAGAGTTATAAATAAATTAGCCAAAGCCGTACCCAGTTAACTTTTGGTCATGCCCTGCTCCCTCAAAAAGAAAATGTTCACAAGAGTATTTAAATGCAGTTCAAGACTTATTTTCATAAATATGCTCATAAAGCATTCACTGTGACATAATAAGGAATGCTACAAGGCATGTTGACTATAATAACTAGAGAGGAAATAAAATCTTACTTTTCCTGCTAAGCAGGAAAGAAATCAGCTAAGATAGACCACCCAGAGTGGAGGGAAGTACTGCCCACTGTGGGGCACCTGGGGCAAGGGAAGACTTATCTTTTAATTCAATCTACACCCAGGAAATAAGGAGGATCAAATTGAAAAATCATAATTCAATGCTTATCCTGTTCTATGAAGGAAACCAATGGGTGTGGGTATCAACATGGTGAAAGATGCAGGTGCTAGGGGGTGGGGCGGGGGAGAAAAAAAACACAGGGTTTCCCAGCAGTCTTAAAGTAAGTGGGGTTCAAGTCACAGTTCTGTTATAAAGGAAACCAGAAGGCACATTGACACCCACATTACTGACCTGCCCAGATGGTAATGACCATGACAATTGCAGCAATACCTCTGAGCACCCATCAAGTACCATACAGTGTGATAGGGACCTCACTTGCAGCATCTCGTCCCATAGTCCTGATCATCCCAACTGCTAAACTGCTTATGTGCCCAGAACCCTGTGGGCACAAAGCATCCTTTTCTGGTTACCCTACTTACAATTTCAAGCATCACTTCATCATCACTCCCCTTCTCTCTTCCAAAACTTCCTCCATACACTTGTCACAGGTGACATCCCTGTTACAAATTCGCTCCTCTTCTGTCTCCTCCACTAGAATCTAGCTTTTTGTGTTTCATTTCCTGCCACATCCTCACTGTCTAGACCTGTGCCTGGCACATAATAGGTCCTCAAAAAGGACTGATATAATGTGTAAGTGACCAGGATGGGGAGACCAGTACGCAGAGGCATGCCCACACCTGTTGCCTTCGATCTCAATGATCCGATGATACCGATCCAGCTCATTCCTCAGAGTTTGCTGGGCCACGGCCAGCTGCCGGCAGTCATAGGAAGACCTCTCCAGTGTCCGCTCAGCCTCTTCGATCTCCTTCCTCAGGCTTTCGATCTGCTCGTTGTAAAGCTGAATCTCGTCATCATAACACTCGTGGGCGTTTTTAATAGCTTGTTCCAGGGTCGTTGTCTGTGGGTAAAGACACACTGCCAGGAAATCCATCCCACCCTCTCCCCAAGATGTGGACTTCACCAGGAGAACCTGATCTCTGTCTACAAAGCTCCATTTGCTTCATTTGTTTCTCTGTAAATTGGAGACTAGCAATGACTCATTTGGAACCTCTTCAAACAAAGAAGAATTTAAAAACTGAGCTCCTATCTCCTAGCATGAACTTCAGCCCCCTGCAGGATTAGCCCACAAGGGGACCCATCCCCGTGGCAGGGTGAAGATGACAAACCCAGAAAATAAAAAGAAATCTGCTGCCCACAGAGTGATCTGCGTCAGATAAAGTATGCTCTCCATACCTTAATGACTTAGCATAAACTTGGTAGCCAAAACTGAAGTAGAAAGAGTACATATGAAATAGATAAGATGCTACTTTTACTGAAACAATTATGAGGGAAAAATTTTCCTTGTTCTTATTCAGCTAAGAGAATGCTTTAATTTTCTCCTGAGTTTTAATCAGTAGTGTTTTATTAATGTTTTCCTGGCTAAAATGTGTGTGAGTGTGTGTGTGTGTGTGTGTGTGTGTGTGTTCATGCACATGTATGCTTGTGTATATATAAAATGATATTAGATGCCTAGATGCATGGGGCCCTGGGGTCATTACCCAGCACTGCAAAAAAAGAAAAATCAACAATGTTAAGGAAGACAATTTTTATGTTAATGCAAGGTAAAAATCAAGGTAGAAAAAGAGAAAGAGGGAGTTTTATTTTCCTTTTAAGAGCTTCTCACAATACTAAAGACTCAAAAAAGCACTTGTTTACAAGTTTAATAATACCTGTAGTCATGACCCTTTTACAGTCTCATTCTATGTAGGAAAGAATTTGACATGTACAGCCCTCAAAATCAAAATGAAACAAAAACACTACTTCTGCCTAGAGCAGTGTCCTTCAAACTGCAATGTACACTAGAGCCATACAAGGATGGTAAGATTCTGACTCAATAGTTCTGAGAAGGAAGGGGCCAGAGACTGCCTTTCTAACCAGCTCCCACAGGATATGGATATGCTGGTTCACGGGCCACACTTGGAGTCATGGTAGGTGGGGAGGGTAGAGAGGTATCTGCATCCAACTTCATGTATATTCACTACAGTGTATTTCTTGCATCCAGACCTAAATGAACATGCTGGAAACCCTGGAAGATTATCATTTCTATTACAACCCAATTTTTCATTTTATATAGATCTAGTCTTTGGATAAAGAAGTCCCTAAGTAATTACATATGGAAACCTAGCTTATAAAGGTGTTCAGGAATATTATCTGTTGCTTCCAGCAGATGGGAAGGAGTGAGGCTGGGAGGGAAAGTTGCATGTACTAAACACTTTGGGAAGATGTCTGTCCAACCTGTGTCATCCCATCCATCCATCCACAAGGAGGGTCCAATAACAATGCAACCCTATCCTCCCATCCAGAGCTTGGAACCGGGGTTGGGTTCAACTTAGGGTGGCCCAACATGTGTTTTATCTCCTGGGAATTTGGAAAGGAACCTTAGGGGTAGTGGCAAGGTTCTAGGCACATGGTGGCATGTTCTAGATTCACTGGGACACATAAACTGGGGTCTAAGCCTGCCATTTTAGAATGATGATCTTTCATAATGTGCATGAAGCTGAGAAAGGCAATTCTCCAGAAAGACATAATAAAGCCAAAGGGCAAAGGTAAACAGATGAGGGAGCCTGTGGCAAGTGAAGGAACAGGAGGGGAAGGAGACAAATAGCAGCTGCCCCACATCCTGGTTCCTGGTTCCTGCTGCACACCTGCTCTCAATTAACATACCTTGCTCCTTTGGGAAAAGAAAAAGAAAAACCTTGCCAGTGGAGAAACGTGGCAGACACCACCTTAAGCAACCAATGAAAGTTAAACATTGTCAGTGTGAAGATAAATGAACATGATGAGACACACTGACACAATGTCACTTCCTAGGGATACTTGCCAAAAAAATAAAGAATGTCAGTTTAAATCTGTGAAAACAACCGGAAAACCCAGATGGAGGGCTGTTCCCCAAAATAGTTGGCCTGGACTCTTCAAAAGCATCAAGTTCAGAAAGACTAAGGAACTGTCCCAGACTTCGGGAGCATAAAGACACACAACACCTGAAGAGGAGTAGGGTCTTACACCAGAACAAAGCATTAGTGGGGTGACTAATGACATTCTGGCACAGCCTATTAATAATAGCACAGTATCATCCTGGCCTTCGTCATTTCCTGTGACTCTAAGATTCTAGCACTTGGGTAAACTATACAAAGAGTTATGTGGGAAACCACAATGCTATTTTTGCAACTTTTAGAAGTCTTAAAAAATTTCAAGGCGCTGTGATTGTGGCTCAGTGGTGGAGTGCTTGCCTAGCACACATGAGGCACTGGGTTCCATCCTCAGCACCACATAAAAATGAAATAAAGTTTATAAAAATATTTTCAAAATTAAAAAGTGTTCTGCCTATTTAGACCAATAATTGGGTTTATTTCTTAAAAAAAAAAAAAAAACCTCAATTCAGTAATCACCTATAATGTCAAATATATGTGGGTAAGCCACATATTCTTACCCACATCACAGTACTCACACACCCCAAGACATAAAGGGGCTGAAGAGACCCCTCTGAGGCCTGAATCTCAGAGTGGCTTCAGAATTATATGAGGGGATGTGTGGGGCCATAGATGACATAAGAGGGGTCAAGTGTCAGGGAGGGAACTTTCTCTCAGTTTCTTTTGTGTTTAAAATGTTCCATAACAAAGAAAATATTAGGTATAAAGAGATTCCCCCTTTGGGTGTGGCTTCCCAGCCCAGAACACGAATCCATGGTCTGTGCTGACAAATTCCAACCTGGGTCAAATCACCAAGCTCCCAACAACCTTGTCTAGAGGGGGCTGTTTTAGTTCCAGGCTCCAGATGAGGACACTAAGACACACAGGTGAAGTCACTTGCCCATAAAAACCACAAGAGGATTCAAACCCACCTGTTCAGGATCTTAGAAACTTCCTGAAACCATGGTCCATCCCTGCCCCAGACTCCTCCCAGCTGCAGGTGAGTAGAGTACAGGCATGTGCACATACATGCACGCGCGCGCGCGCGCACACACACACACACACATTTATGTGAAAACACACTCTAGGGCTCTGGAAAATTCTACATTGCCCTATTCTCACCAAAGATACAGGGCACTTGGTGTGATCTACACACACACACACCCTCATTGAGTATTTTTACTTCATACACTTTTGAACTGTACATAAGGTTATCAAAATGGGGAAACAGAGGATAAGAAAGTCATCTACAGTCTTTCTACCCTAGAGGACAAGCATGAACTTTTTGCAGATCTCATGATTTGATGGTTTGTTGTTTGTGGTAGTGGCAAGTGGGTGGTAGGCCTTTTTGTTTATGAATACAGTTGTATGTGTGCTTGCTTGTTGTTTGTTGGAAGAAAGAGGTGCATTAAAGGCTGGATGTTCTTGGGTAGAGTGGGAGGATCTCATGCTCCAGGAAGGAGGCTTCATGCTGCTCCTGTAAGGCACCTTCTAATCTTCAACAGGCCCCTGAGGCTCCGTGTGTTTCTGCCTGTTCAGTGAACCCAAGACTGGGTTTATAAAACTGGACTTCTGGGCACACCACTGAGGTTTTTACAGCTCAGTAATTTAAACCAGTCATCAAAAGGAAGAATATACAGAAAAACAGTAAGAGTCCCATTCACTTAGAGCTTGTTTTGCCTCTGATGAAGGCCAAGAGGACTCAGTGGATGTGGACCACGTGACAACCTGAACTTTATTTTGAGCCAGGACACTGCTATGTTTCTGCTTGGACCATTAGATCCTCTGGTTTATATCCATCTAACCATTGAGCTGTGAGCAGCACAGGGCAGCAGCACACACAGGAGACTGAGCGTGAGCCCCATGTAGGGCAGGGAGCTCCTGCCTCTTAGGATTCTAGGTACCTTTGGGTACAAGTCTTTGTAAAAAAAAAAAAAAAGAAGAAGAAGAAGACAAGAAAAGAAAAAGAAAAAGAAAGAAAGAAAATAAAAATCAGTATCCTTCACCCTTCACAAATTACATAGTCTTACCAAGAATAACCACTAGATGGTACTAACTGACCTTAATGAAAAATGAGTCCTGGGAGGTTCCCATTTTGCAATTAATGTGATTTTTTTCACTTCCCTGTCACAGAAATTCAGTCAATGCAATTTAGGAAGTCAGAAGTGCCTGTCCCTTCTCCACCTGTAAGAAATTTCATATCCAGGGACCTTATTTCATCTATGTTCAGCTTACTTGAAGGAAGGTCCCTAGCTCCAGTATCAGGCTCTGTTCCTTCCATTCTGGGGCCCTGGGTCTCTCAAACTGGAGCCTGTGGAATCACCTGGGCATTACTGGGCTCCACCCGAGTTACTGATTCAGTAGGTTTGGGATGCACCTATGAATGTTCATTTCTGACAAGTTCCCAGATGATGCTGATAATGCTGGACCCGGGACCTCGCCCCGAGGACCCCGGACATGGAAGATTCTGGAATCATCATGGGCCTTCACCAGAGGTAGAACCAGCTGCCACAGCCCTGCCAGAAGCTCTACTTCCCCAGACATCCAATTCTCCCTTGAAGCTCTCAGTTTAGCTATTCCATTTGGAAGCCAGAAAATCTTTAACTAGCAAAAATCTACCCAATAACATTTTAAATGAGGCCATAGAGGGCACAAGTCTGGCACCCAGGTGCATCAGGTATAAAACACTCTGACTCTATCCAGGACTTGCCCCCATACCTGTGGTTCTGAGTGTGGTTCCTGGACTAGCAGCAGCATCTGGAAACTTGGAAATGCATACTCTCAGGCTCCAACCCAGATCTACTGAGTCAGAAACTCCTGGGTGCACCTAGTCATGTTAGGGTTTTAATTAGCACTAATTAAGAAAATTCTTGCTCCCCATGACCTTTACCCATTGGTGTTATGCCCATGAATACATTACATGGCATAAGGGACTTTGTAGATGTAGTTAAGATTCTTAATTAATGAATCTTTTTAAGAAGGAAGCTACTCTAAATTGATCCTAATCACATGAGCCTTCATAAGCAGAAGTCAGAGAAATGCAAAAGCAGACATTAGAAAAATTAGATGCATGAGGATTATTCAATGCACTGCTGCTAGCTTTGAAGATGGAGGAGCCTTGGGTCAAAGAATGCTGGCAGCCCCTAGAACTGCTCCTGGCCAACGGCCAACAAACAGGGTTCTCAATCCTACAGTGCACAGAATTAAATTCTGCCAACAACTTAAACAAGAATGGAAGCAAATGATCCCCCAAGAGCCTTCAGACAAACATCTAGGCAAGCCCACAACTTTATTTCAGCCTAGTGAGATCCAGAGCGGAGAAATCAACTGACCCTTCCCAGATGTCTAACCTACAAGACCCTGAGAAAATAAACAGGTGCTGTTTTAAGTTCCTAATTTGTGGTAATCCATTAAGACAGCAAACTCGAGTTTCATTAGACTCATAGCTGGATTTTGTTATTGAACACAGTCAGCCTTACATGTCCATGGGATCCTCACCCACAGATTCAACCAACTGAGGAACAAATATATTTCTAAAATTATATCTGAATTGAAAAATCTCTTGTCATTATTCCCTAAACATTACTGTATGTCAACTATTTAGACAGCATTTACATTGTGTTAGGCATTATAAGTAACCTAGAGATGATTTAAAGCATACGGGAGGATGTGCCTAGGTTATGCACACAATTGTGAGCCATTTTATATCAGGGACTTGAGTATACGTGGGTTTTGGTATCTGCTGGGAATCCTGGAACCAAAACCCCATGAATACTGAAGGATGAGCACATACAGATGATCTCAGACTTTCAATGATTCAACTTGTGATGTTTCCACTTTACCATGGTATGAAAGCAACATGTATTCTGTGGAAACCATACTTTTTATCTTGCACTTTCTCTTTTCCTGGACTAGGGATATGCAGTATGACCATCCTGCAAAGTGGGACAGTGCCACCATCATGAGTGGAAACAACTGATGCTGTACAGTGTACTGTGTCGCTAAGCTGGGACATGCAGTGGGTTAGTGGTATTAGATGCACTTGCAACTTACATCATCTTCAGATGAGAATTGTCAGGTTGCAAACCCACTGTAAGTCAAGGAGCGTCTGTATATTATTATCTATGAAATGATTTGATATTTTGATAAGTGTTTCAATACAATTAGTCTGCTTTTAATTACTCTGTCTTAAAAACAACATTTTCCTGAGAAGGTGTTCACAGTATCGCCAGACTACCAAAAGCTGGAGAACAGCAGAGAAGAGAAGGTCCAGACCCTGCTTTAAAGAGGTGAACGCACCCAAATAAATTAATCAGTCTGCAGCAATAGACAGTGGGAAAAAGGTGCCAACCAGACGGTCGTACTTCGTGTTCTCAGAAACCAGATTAACCTCTACAAGATTTCTTACTTTTATATTCAACAAATATGTACATGTACATAAAGAGCAAACATGCTTTTTGCCCTGCAACTAGAACTTTCCATAGCAGGTGGTGCTCCCTCATCCTCCTCGGTATTTAGGGCAGTGGTTTTTCAGCTCTGTCACCGCGGCCACAGGAAACGACACAGTTCTCACTGCCAGCCATGTGCCTCACACAAATGTGTTTGTGTATGCATGTGTGTGTGTGTGTGTGTGTGTGTTTGAACAAATATCTACATATTTAAATATATATGCAAATATATGTAAAACAAAGGTTTCATAGAACAAACCCTACCTTTTCTTGCTATGCAGTCTGTAATGTCTTAGTCTTAGTCAAGTGTTGCTTGTTTCTTCGTTTTTTTTCTGCAGTCAATTCTGCTGAATTCACTTTAAGCCAATGAGTTGTGACTTGGGGTTTGGAAAACATTGGTCTCCTGACCAGGACTGGGCCACACCCACTTCCTCAATGACAGCACACCATACACACACCCTACATACATACAACTCCACCCATACACACATCAAGCATATATATATATATATATATATATATATATGCACCACACACACTACACATACATACCTCACACTACACACCATACACATATTACTTTCATACATGTCATACAACATATACACACCACACATTATACCATATATACACACACCTCGCATATATACATAGTACATACACACATATCCACCCAGCACAGTACACACTTTATACACACATACTACATACTACACCATCTATACATGTATACATTCAGTACACATACACATACAGCAACAGAACACACATATACACCAAATATACCTCATATGCACATACACACACATCCCACATATATAAATACTACACATACACTTACCACATACTACACATACATCCCTACATATGTACATGCACTACTCTTTCTCTCCCCACCCACACCCAACCTTCTCTCTCTCTCTCTCTCTCCCTTCTTCTATCCTTTCAGGACCACAGAGGAAACCATGATCACCAAGATGAGGCATCTGGTCCCTAAGCCATGGCTAGTCTCCTGAGAAGGACGAATCTGAAGGTCACTACTTGAATTCTCCCACTCTGATCTTCAGCTTCTGGGACAATCACTGTTCTCAGGTTGCTTTCCAGTGGCTTTTGAGAGCTGCTGCACAGCAAGAGTTTTGTGTGCTGTGCAACAGGGGTGAGAAACAGCATGCCTGAACTCTGGGGTCCCAAAATGAGATCCTGAGCCAACATGGAAAGTGTGGAATATCTATGAAATGCACCTCCTCTAGCTGAGGTGTTTACTTTTTCTGATTTTGTGGGCACTACAGAATAGAGGCCAACATAACGTCCAGGTAGATGCTCTAGCTTTTCTAGAGTCAGTTTTAGGTTTTTTTCACTCTCTTGTTCCTTAGATGTACTTGTCTAGCCAAATGTCAATTTATTTTTTGATTTGGGAAATGTAGTTACAGAACCACAGGAAGGTGCAGTATTTTAACCCAACATTCCCCATCAGAGTGGCCAGCCATTTAAGAACAAGAGAAAGAAAACAGGAAGGAACCAAGCAGATGAACCCTGAAGTCCCTGAGACAAGAAGGCAGGCCACAAAAACCGGGTGCATTGAGTTTTCAAATGAAGCTTCACCCAAAGCAGAACAGATGGAAATGGGGCTCTACACTAACAAAATTCTATCCAGGGGCAATGCTGACACATCTACTCTTTCTAGATTCATAATCCAATTCCAAAGGAGAAATTTTGTTGGGAGAAGAGAAACCGGAAACATAGATTTGAGCAAGTTAAATAAAGATCCCAATATATGTCTATTTCTACCTATCCTTAACAAGTTTAACCTGGGCCAAAAGAATCAATAATGAAGAAGCTGGCGGGCCGAGGATGTGACTTGAAAGGGCACCACAGATCCTGTCTCTATTGGCCCAGGACTCCTTCCAGGTTGGGCGCTTTCTCCTGGGTACTCCCTCCGCTCAGAGCAAAGCAGGGTCACCTGCTCAGACTCTGTCAGGCTCACAAGTTAAGTTATGTTTGTGACAATTCACAGAGCCAGATTACCTGTGCATGCATGTGACATGTCAATAAAATGTGTGAGAGACACTGATGCATACATGTGGTGTGAATTCCCAATAGTGAGTGGCAGACATGAGAATGTGGAGCCATACCTGGGCCTGCAGCTCTGTCTTCTGTGCCTGCAGGTGGGAGAGCGCCTCCTGGCCCTCCTCCAGCTGACTCTGCAGGGCGGCCACTTCCCGTTCAGTCAGGAGCTTCTCCTGTACAAAGAAGGCCAGATTCAGAATCATACATGGGAGAAATGCAAAGATAAAAGGGACAGGAAGAGTGTTATGGACTGAATGTGTACCCACCCCCATCCCAAATTCATATGTGGAAGTCCTAACCCTCAAGGTAATAGGACCTTTGGGAGGTGATTAGGATCAGATGAGATCATGAAGGAGGGACCCCAAGATTTAATTAGTGTCCTTGTGAGAAGAGGAAGAGACACTATGTGCTGTCTCTCTCCACCATGTGAGCAGCCAGCAGGAAGGTAGCTGTCTATAAGCCAGGAAGAGAGTTCTCAGCAGTTAGACCCTGCCAGCACCTTGATCTTGGACTTCCAGCCTCCAGAACTATGAGAAATAAATGTCTGTCTTTGGAATCCTATCGAAGCAGTCCAAGCTGACTCAGACAGGTCCCGGGTAGCCACTGTTCATGCCTTTTTATTTCTTTTTTTACTTTTCATAAGTAAAACACAGAGACTTAAGTATCAGGAGACCTGTGCATAGACCTGGATAAGAGACAAGGCATTTAATTCTCAAAAAGTGACTTTCTAACTGGTTTGCAGAATTGTTAAGCCAAGATTCATAAAGAATGGGATGCTTAACTGGAGCAACCATTATGGAAAGCAGTATAGAGATTCCTCAGAAAACTTGGAATGGAACCATCATTTGACCCAGCTATCCCACTCCTTGGTATATACCCAAAGGACTTAAAATCAGCATACTATAGTGATGCAGCCACATCAAAGTACTATAGCAGCTCAATTCACAATAGCTGAACAATGTGCTCGCATGTGGAAAAAAACCTAGGTGCCCTTCAACAGATAAATGGATAAAGAAAATGTAATACACACACACACACAAACACACACACACACACACACACACACACAATGGAATTACTTGGCCATAAAAAAGAATGACTTTATGACTTTTGCCAGTAAATGAATGGATCTGGAGACTGTCCTGCTTAGTGAAATAAGTCAATCCTCAAAAACCAAAGGTCGAATGTTCTCTCTGATATGCAGATGCTAACACACAACAAGGAGGAGGAGGGAAGAATAGAATTCAGTGGATTAGACAAAGGGGAATGAAAGGAAGGGAGGGGGATGGGAATAGGAAAGACAGTGGAATGAATCAGACATAACTCTCCTATGTTCATATATGAAAACACCACAGTGAAACTCCACCTCATGTACAACCACAAGAATGGGATCTTAATTAGAATAAGTTATACTCCATGTATGATATAATATGTCTAAACATAGTCTACTGTTGTATATATCTAAAAAGAACACATTTTTAAAAAATAAATTTTAAAATAATGGGATGCTTTCTGAATCTGCATTTCTCCACCTTCCACATGCACACAAATCCTTGGGGAATCTAGCTAAAAAGCAGATTCTGACTTAGTGGGCCCTGAGATCAGGCTGGACATTCTGCATTTCTCTCAAGCTCCCAGGTGATACTGATCCAATGATATCAAAACAAGTCCGATCAGTCCCTCTGTTCTTAGAACTCCAAAGGATTTTGTTAGAAGGGAACAGATGATAACAATTTAAAAAGTGAACTCTCATGTGAAAAAAAAAATTGAATTAGAGGGGAGAAATAAGTTTGAAAAATAAAAGTAAGGTATCTGGAAAGAATCTCTGACAAAGAAAATTAAGGCTTTAGAAAAAAAGCTATTTGGGGTCTTTGGGCAGCCTCAGCTACATCAATTAAGGAGAACAGGAATCTGAAATGGTAACTGATGGGCAATTTAGATGAGAATATCTCCATGAAGGCCAAAAAAGTTAACTTCCATGCCTCTTAGATGATACTTGGCTGGGTTCTAAAGTGTCTTCTAAAGCAAATTTTGGAAAATCTTTTATCTTTGATATAAAAACATTAAGTCAAAATGAAAAAGCTCCAGTAACCCTAACCCACTGAATCTGCAGCTTGTCTGTACTCTGGCTATTCCAGAGAGAAGGGCCCCACTTCCTAGGTGGCCCATTGCCCTGGCTCATGGCCTGAGTACATTTCTAGGAAATTCCAAGTGTCACCAGGATCAAGAAATCACTATCCTTTTCAAGGTCATCCTTGAAAAAAAACATCATTTTTTTTTTTTTTTTTTGTAATCAGTTCACCAATCCATCAAACTCTGCACCAGCCTGAAGAAGGGACATGGTGGTTTTATTTATTTACGTATGTGTTTATTTTGCAGGAGATCAAACCCTGTGCTCAAGTATGCTGAACATGCACTATCTCCGAGCTACACCTCCAGCTGACATTTCAATTTTAATTTCTTTTTTCTTCAGCTTATATGTATCACAACATTCCATAAAACATAAAAGGAAAAAAATGTCAATATCCTATTGAGCAGGTAGGGAGCTAAGTGAAGAAGGAAATTGGAACCTTATATTGGGAATTACATTTCACATCCAAATCCCCAGTTTTTACAAACTGGCTTTGATCATCTCTCTCTTCCACAGCTGTCATGCCAAGGACTCCCATAATAATTAGCAGAGCCTGATCTTGAAAAAGTATTAACCAAGAGTCTCATAAATTATTTGAAATTTAAAACCAAGTTGATAAGGTGAATAAAAACTAACAACCTGCTGCGAATATGTCCCCCAAATTCACGAAACGTACTCCCCCATTCAACAGTGGAGTCCAGTGGGAGGCACTGAGGCCATGGGGGCTCTGTCCTCCTGAATGGATTAATACTTTTATAAAAGAGCTTGTGGGAGTGGCTTCTCCCTCTTCTGCTCTTTTGCCATGAGGAATGAGTATGTCCCTTTTTGTCCTTTCTGCCTTCAGACTTGTAAAGATGCAGCAAGATGGCCCTCATCAGAAGCTGTTGCTTTGATCTTGGACTTCAACTCTAGAATTTGAGGAATGAATTTCTACTCTGCACAAAATTATAGCAGCACAAATGGACTAAGACACAACAATTTAAAAATAGGTGAGAAGGGCTGGGGTTGTAGCTTAGTGGTAGAGTGAGGTACTGAGTTCCATCCTTAGTATCATGTAAAAATAAATAAATAAAATAAAGGTATTGTGTCCATCTACAACTAAAAATATTTTTTTAAAAAATAGGTGAGAAATGTGAGAAGATTTTTTTGAGAGAGAGAGGAGAGAGAGAGAGAGAGAGAGAGAGAGAGAGAGAGAGAGAGAGAGAGAGAGAGAGAGAGAGAATTTTTTAATATTTATTTTTTAGTTTTCGGTGGACAAACATCTTAATTTTTTTTTAATGTGGTGTTGAAGATCGAACCCAGTGCCCCACGCATGCCAGGCGAGCACACTACCGCTTGAGCCACATCATCAGCCCAATGAGAAGATATTTTAACAGAGAAGTATAAGGTACACAGAACTCCCAAGAGAAGATACTTAAGACAACGGTCAGGGACGTAGTTGTGTATCTAAGTATCCGCATTTACAACATGAACAAAGAACAGAATAGACTTCATATGAGAACACATTGCAGGAGTGGGAGTGAGTTGTCAACTCTGCGGCTCCCCTCACAGTTTGACCCAATATTTGCCCCTGGATTTCTGCCACAGTCAACTAGTCCCACAGGAATGTGAAGAAAGGCTCCAGGTATGGTCCCCAGTCCCCTTGACTCCTTGATGTCATGATTCCAATTCTTACCTCCCTCATCCCACTGGTGACGGTGGAGGCCTGGGGAGCGGTCTGGATGATCTGCTGCAAGATGCTAATATAGGTCTGAATTTCCAGAAGATTCTGTTGGGAGAGGGAAAGCATTACTCTTCATAAGTTGAGCTGCCCAAGTTTTTCCCTCTCGCCCTAGGTGGACCCAGAAATGAATACTTTCACACATTCTCCCACAACCAGAGGATGGGTTGGTTACTAGGCAGCACTTACTAAGCCAAATGTGCACAGAGGTGTAGGCAATGGTAGGTATGTTGAGGGCTGTGGTATTAGGAACTAGTATCTATATTGTATATTCTAATTTACAAAGTGATTTAGATAGATTTGTTCATCTATTTAGATAGATAGATGGCAGAAATGGAGAAAATGCCAAAAAAAAAAAAAAGTCTATGTTATAGCTCTTCGCTTTGCCTCTGAGTTGGTTACTTAAATACATTCATTCCTAGGGTGTCTTTATCTTTCCCCACCTCCACCTGCTTCTCACAGGCCTGACTTTGGGGGGTCTTGGTGTACTGGAAAATGTCATTCAAATCCTGGGCCTATATAACCATGGGTGAGTGGCCTAACCCCACCCATGGGGATGAAAAGAGAGTGATGAGTTTTCTGCTATTGACGGGCCATCCTCCATATGTCCACCATGGAGCAGGCACTCCACATCTCTGCTGTTCTTCACAAGAACAGAGTAGGACAAACGAGAACAAGCCAAGGCTTGGTTGTGTTGCTATTTCCCGTCAGTTACATTGGTTGTTTCTTCCCAGAGTCCTGGATAGAGAGGCAGGAGTACTAACAAGACCAGGAGGGCCCAAAGGACCCTTTCTGACACCAGCACAAAGGCAGTGTTTCCAAGACAGGGTGATTTGGGTCCATCATGTCTGGGCTAAGTGATATGCTGAATGTGTGTGGTCTCAGGCAAACTTAAAATGCAAGTCCTTCTATATAGCACAGAGCTAAAACTGACCTCCGGGAAGCCTGATCCCCTCTACCAGCCAGTGCTCCCATCCCCAGCTATGAGTGATGATTGATAACACAGCTCTCTCCAGAGTGGCCTTGGCCAACCAGTAGTCATCTTGTCCAGAAGCTACAGGGACCCCACCACATCTCAATTCAGGCCAATGACTAACACAGAACAAACCGTCTTTGCCCCCAGATGGGACCAACCCTGTGCTGTAATTCACACTCATACTCCAGAGCTCCCATGGAGGGCTCCCTTGCTCAGCTAAAGTAGAGGCAAGAAGGCAGGTGAAGAGGAAGGAGCAGGTGAGGTGCCTGGTGGGAAGCTGGAAGGATATAAACTGGAGGGAAGAAGAACTGCACCCTTGCATCCACTGAGGGAGGAAGAGAACAGCAGGCTTGCTGTGTCCTTGCCAACCTCCAGGCTGTACCTGTAACACCACATCGTCTCTGTTTGTGTTTTCCTAGAAACAGACCCTGAGCAAAGGATCTGAGTGGTAATAATTGATGTGGGCAATGACGCCAGGAGCGGAATAGAGAAGAGACAGGGAAGGAAGTTAGCCAGTGGGGGGTATCATCAGTCAGTCACAACTGCAAGCACCTGAGCTCAATGCTACTGGGGATCCTCAGCAGATCAGAGGCCTCAGAGTTGTCCCAAATGGGTAAGTGGGAGCTGGGGTGTTTATACACCACCTCCCATCAGTTGAGGCTGCTTCCAGGGGACAGAAGTTCCCCCAAACTTCCTTATGGGACAAAGCAGTCTTCAGATGCCTGGATAAAGGTCCTCAAGCTGAGCTGCAGATGTTGGCAGTTAGGGAGGTCAGAGCCCATGGGAGAAGTAAGCTCCAGGGTCAGGGTCAGGCACCCACACGTCTGCTCACTAGTTAACCCATACTCCTGCTCTGGAGGCTGGCCTTTTCATCTTGAAGATGAAAAGCAACCTAAGGAGGTTACTTCTAGGAGGTGCCTACACTCACCCATGGTTACAGCCCCAGGATTTTGATATTTTCCACCAAGACCAAGACTCCCCCAAAGTCAGGCCTGTGAGAAGCAGGAGGTGGAGGTGGGGAAAGATAAAGACACCCTAGGAATGAATGTACTCAATTAACCAACTCAGAGGCAAAGCGAAGAGCTATAACATAGACTTGTGTGTGTGTGTGTGTGTGTGTGTGTGTGTGTATTTTCTCCATTTCTGCATTTTCTGAGCAGAAAGAGGATCAATCTATCTAAATCACTTTATAACTAGAATACACAATATAGATACTAGTTCTCAACACCACAGCCCTCAACATACCCACTACTGCCTACACCTCCACACACATCTGGCTTAGTAAGTGCTGCCCAGTAACCAACCCATCCTCTGGGGAAAAAATGCACACCCAAGGAAGCCCAGTCCAGCATCTCAGTGACCAGCCACGAGTGCCTTGGGCTTGTCTGAACAAATGCAAACTGGGTTTCAGAGGGAAAGGATTCAGAAGGATCCTGGTTACCTTTTTGTATCTGTCCTTGGCTGCAGTGACATCGTCCTGCAGAAACTGAGCTTCAAGCTGAAGGCGTAGGTTATGTAACAGGGCTTCGTCAGCTTCCTGCAGTGAAGAAAAGTGACACATCCAGGGTTGCATGGCATCAGTGCATAGGTGTAAGGTGAGCCAGGTTTGTGGCTAATCACATGGGGACTTATTAAAATGAATACAGATTCTTGTCTGGGAAGGCGTCTGAGATTTAGCATCATAGAAAAGCCTGAGTTAGCCATTGGATCTGGTCCAGGACAATAGTTCATGAAGACATGATTCTGTACCCAAAGGGGCATTTGAAATATCTGGAGACATTTTTAATTGTCACCATTTGAAGGGTGGTACTTCTACTGGCACCAAGTGGGTACAAGCCTGTAAGGCTACTGAATATTCTATAATACATGTGACATCCCACCACACACACACACACACACACACACACACACACACACACACACCAAAGTCAATAGTGTCAGGGTTGAAAATTTTTCACCTAAAAGGAGCTAAAAATTAGAGTACATTTACATGCCAAAAAACATCAAATTTAAGCAACATCAATATCTGCTCTCTATCTTACCTTTAATGACATGAGTCTCCAAGACTAAGATAAGAAAATCATTTCCCATTAATACTTAAATCTGTATTTTAGTAGTCTTCTTTTCAAAAACTGTTAAAATTTCACCTTGAGATATAGTTTTAATGCAAAATACATTTTTTAGAATGATAACTATTGAGAATAGTATTTGTTCCTTTAAAGTTGGAAATGACATTTATGACTGATGATTGAATTATCTCACTAAACTTTCTGGTAATTCAGACTTCTGTCTCATTGCTGTTTGGATTAAAACAAGTAGGTATAAGAAAACTGTTCATGCTCAAGATTGTGCTCTGATGTCTGGAATTGGCTTAAATTCTACAGTGTGTTCAGGGAGATATTGCAGGGGAGCATTCCTTGGGTTCATTGGGATTCCCTCACTCCCTCTGCTAGGCACATCTGCCCACACCCAAGGCTTTGGTAAGTGAGTTTTTACTGACTTATTAATGATCTGTTAATAAGCATGATGAAAATTAGCAGTGGAGTCTCTTTAATAATGTGGATATGTGATTTGGCTAAAACATTTAAGAGACACTTGTCCATGCCTGAGTGAACAGTTAAGACAGTCAAGATAAGTGGACTGGACAAGGCATTTGGGGACACTCCTTGCCCTCACACTGATAGGGATTAAGTTTCATAAAATCAGCATACTATAGTGGATGATGCAACCACATCAATGTTTACAGCATCTCAATTCAAAATAGCTAAGCTAGGAACAGATGAATCAACAGATGAATGGATAAAGAAAATGTGGTATATATACACAGTGGAATATTACTCAGCAATAAAGAAAAATGATTTTATGACTTTTGCCAGTAAATGGGTGAATCTGGAGACTATCATGCTAAGTGAAATAAGCCAGTCCCAGAAAGCCAAAGGTTGAAAATTTTCTCTGATATGTAGAAATTAATCCACAATAACTGGGTAGCAGAGCATAATAAAAGCTCAGTAGATTAGACAATGAGGAATGGAGGAATGAAAGGGAGGATAGGAAAAGGAAAGAAAGTGGAATTATTCTGACATATTTTTCCTATGCACATTTATAAAAGCATTACAGTGAATCCCTCCATCATGAACATCCAAAGAGAATGGGATCCTAACTAGAATAAGATATATGCCAAGCTTGTATAATTATATCAAAATGGATTCTGTCATGTATAATTTAAAAAAAAAAAACAAGAAAGAAGACGGGGGTTGGGGAGAATGGACAGAAGGAAGGAAGGAAGGAAGGAATGTATTGGATTCCTTAACTGTTCTTATAAAAGGCCACAGATACAGGAAGATTTCTGATTGTCTGATGGTGACAATAAGGATGTGGAATATTCTGACTCTATTGCTGTATGTGCCTTGAGTGGGCTTCCCATGCATGTGCTGTCTTTGTACCTATGACATCAGAGGTGGGACTTCATGGAGCCTTCAAAAGAGGTTGTATAAATTGGGGGGGGGTGCTGAATCAGAATAAATGTTCTGGGATGTATCCCCATACCCTTCAGGAGCAATGGTTCACATCCTGGAGCTGAGGTCATCTCCCCAGAGAGATCTGGCTAAATCTGGGGTGGAGGTGAAGGAATGGTACATGGAGCCAATTTCTCTAAATGTTTTTTCCATCTTCCTTCTGCCTCTCTCTTAAGCCTGGTGAGGATAGGGTAGGGTAGAGAATTCTCATGTATCTTGATTTTTACCAAGATTTCATCCATGATTAGAGGAGCCAAAGAAGAATTGGAAATAGGATGCTTCTTGTTATTACTTAAAAAGAGATCATTCCAAATTTTGAAAACATAAGGGATCCTAAGGGAAATTGGTCCTCAAATGGTTTTACAAGCCACAGATGCCATCCTTTAAACAAAGTATCCCACGAAAGTCAATGTACAGGATCAAAGCAGGGATGCTTTTTTGTAAGAGGTGCTACTGGGGGTTGAACCTTGGGCCTTGAACATGCTAAGAATGCACTCTACCACTAAGCAATGCCCCGAATCACAGAGCCTCTTCTTTCAGGGCATAATGGGCCACAAGCATCCTCATTTGCCCAGCAGCCCTGTTCCCTCAAATGTCTTTCAAGTGACTTCATACAGCAGGTCAAAAACTAAAGTCTATATTTACAGAAGGGAGACTGAAGCCCTACTGATCAGTGAATCATTCAATTAGTTCATGGAAGATAATGAGAATGGAGTCTGTCTTGGGCTTCTCTGTCTATTGATGAGCTGGGTGCTGAGCAGAAATCCCATCCTGTGGGGTATCTGCCACCCTTCCCCAACTCCCTCTTAGGATCATGTGAAAACAACTTCTCCTAGGTTCTGTCAATCGAGTCTTGAAAACTGCTTATGGTGAAAATAAAAGACCAGTTGATATTTGTCCTTAAAATCGGGAATAACCAAAAGTTTCTGAAAGCACATTGTCTTACTTTAAAGATAATCATCTGTTAAACTTCCCTGAAAACCCCCAAAGGTGAGTTGGTGCCACTGGAATGTGCAGTTGCTGATATATTGAGGAGAATTTGTTTTGGAAGTATTTTCCTTTGTTTGCACCAGAATTCAGAAATGTGTAGACGCTTGTGTTTTTATTATGTTTGGATGCTGTCAGCTAAATTTTCAAAAGCTTCACTAGCAGAAGCATCTAGATTTTTCTAAATTGAGACTCTGGGTCCACAGTGTGATTTTAGAAAACAACCCAACCCTGTTATTGTGTATGTTCTAGATCTGGACAGTGGTTCTCCAAGTGTGATCTCTGGATCACACCACTTGGGAACTGGCTGGAAATGCAAAGACTCCAGTAGATCCCAGTCCTACTGGGTCAGGATTTTTGGAGCCAGGACCCAGGAATCTGGATTTTAACATTTCCTCCAGGTGACGCTGATGCACGCTGAAGTTTCAGAACCACTGATGTAGAATATTCACAGACATTTTTTTGAGAAAGACACCAAAGAAATAAATAAGAGTTTGATGTATCCTTGAAAAGCAACCTTGGCAACCTATTCACACGGATTCTAGAAACACCATTAAAAAAACAATTTCTAGAGACCAGCTTTGGCTACACATTTTAAGTAGTATGTTGATCTATTTTTAAATAGATCTATTTTTAAATCTATTTTCTTTTTTTTAAGTATATTTTTTACAGGTTGATAGGCCTTTATTTTATTGATTTATTTTCATGTGGTGCTGAGAATCGAACCCAGTGCCTGACACATGCTAAGCAAGTGCTCTACCACTGAGCCACAACCCAGCCGGAGGAATCTATTTTCTTTCAAAATGTGGAGCAAAGAGAGGCCTGCTTCAGTTTAGCTGTCTATTAAAAACTTAGGAATGCTGGGGTTGTGGCTCAGTGGTAGAGCACTTGCCTAGCATGTGTCAGGCACTGGGTTCAATTTTTAGCATCTCATATAATTAAAAATTAAAGGTAAAAAAAAAAAAAAAAACCTCAGGAGCTCTGCTCTGGAGGTTTGATTACCTAGACAGCCTGGCAAACACAGGGTAAATTTGTGAGAGAACAGTCACAAACAGTGATTTTACATACATTGTAATATTTTCCAAATAGGATTCAAAGTCGATGATTCCCCCTAGCCACACCCAAAGATAAATCACTTTTCCAAGTGAAATCATAGGAATTGGGCATGAATCTGAGCTGAGGGTCAAAACCTTGTTGATTTGCTATAAGTAAACATCCAAAGAGTTGTGAACTAAAGTCATTGATCTGGCCAGCTGACAAAATGTGAATTCTACTCTTCCTTTTCATCTGATGATCTCAGTGGACAGAGAACAAGAAGTTCCAGCATCCAGCTGGCCAACTCCTTAGGGGCTATTTAAGCTTGAGTTCTCCAAAAGCAGATCCCAAGGCAAAGTTTGGACACAGGCCACTTGTTTGGGAGGTGATTCCAGGAAACACAAGAGCAGAAGAGTAAGTGACAAGCAGAAAGAAACAAAGAAATCAATGAGAGTGTATTAATGAGCAGGTTACATTTGTGAACAACAGGGCTCAGACCTGCTGGGGATCATTTAAGAAGCAATATGGAACTCTCCACTGGATTTTTACTGTTGGAGCAACTGGAAAACTTACCCATTCACTCCCATCCCTCAATGGCTGAGGTTCACTCCTCAGGGTTAACACAGCCAGCATTTCTGCACTGTGCCTGGGTGAGTCATCTACCTTTCCATAGCCAGAGAGATGCAGGAAGCCATCAATGTGCTCAGCATGTCTCAGTGGCAGCTGGGGTGGCCCAGAAAAGATGAACGGGGCACCAACATCAAGAGCTAAAGGGCTGGGGCTGGGGATGTGGCTCAAGCGGTAGCACGCTCGCCTGGCATGCATGCAGCCCGGGTTCGATCCTCAGCACCACATACAAACAAAGATGTTGTGTCTGCCGAAAACTAAAAAATAAAAGTTAAAAATTCTCTTCTAAAAAAAAAAAAAAAGAGCTAAAGGGCCATCTTTAACCTACAGCACCCTGCCTTTGTGACTATCTTCTGAGTGACCCAGGTCCCCTGACTATTCTTAGAAAGTAGAGAATGAGTCATGAATAAAAAAGATGCCATTTACACCTGCCATGAGTGGGCTTGGGGCTCTCAAGTCATTTAACCTCAAGGGTGAATTTCTTCATGGACAAAAAGAAGGGGTTGGACTGTGTCGTTTCTAGGGGTCAAACCTACCCACCAAAAATGAAAGACTGTTCCAAGCCTCCCACAAGCCAGCACCAGGACTTCCCCAGTGCTGTCATTGCACTCTGTGTTCATGATTTCTATTCTATGTAAGCACCTCCTGCATTTTTCTTCAGTTGAACTCATTTTTGCTTGGACTTATTTGAAAGGGGAACTTTCTTAATTTCACTTGCTATAAGAAAAAATCAATCATAAAAAATTCATAACTATAAAAAAACTACTACTCCAAGCCCCATCTAAAATCATCTCTTAATCCACCAGGGTTATGCATTCCACACTTTGGAGAAAACTAAGCTGGCGTCTGTCACCATCAAGTGCTCTGTGATAACCCTAACTGAAGATGGCTCATCACCATGTGACAGGCAAGACAATGTCCTCTGATTCCCACTCTGCATGTAGACATACTTCCACTCTGATGACGGTGGGGATTGTTTTTGTTCCCATTTCACAGATGAGGAAGATGAGGCTCAGAGAAATGAGGCAATTTACCTCCAGTTCACAGATACTAAGCAGTACTGTAAGGAGCCTATTAAAAGTCTACACTCCTCTTTTAGATGGCATGAATCAATTGTGGGCAGGAAGGTCTTACCCTAAACTCAAGGAATAATCACATCTACTCCTGTGCTGGTACTCACTTTCATTCTTGATAGCATCTTTACTCATAATATTCTCATGGGGCTGATACTTAAAATGTATACTTAAAAAGTCATAATCTAGATAAACACGTTACAGCTGTTTTCCTTGGGTGGTGAAATGATGGCATCCCTTTTCTTTATTTTTCACTATTTATACAGCCTCATTTTTTTTTTTTTACTGAGAATATGTACTGCTTTTGAAATAAAGAGAAAAACGAGAGAAGGTTTTAAAATCCACTGTCACTTTCCACCAATGGTAAAAAGAAGGACTCTGTTCTTTCTCTTTAAGGCATGCCAAGATGACACAGCATGTATGACCATTTTAAAAGTCCAGAGAAAGGCCCAATTTCACTGAGGACAAATTCTCACACAGAAGCACATGGTGGTGTTAGAGAAGGGGCTTAGGAGGGCCTGAAGTGGCACCAAAGTGAAGGGTGTTAAGTTTCTCAGTCCTTGCAAGCAATGGCTTATGGACAAGATGGAGACCCAACTTGGGAGCCTGGAATTACCTCCAAAACAAGAATGGGATGAGCTACAGGTGTTAGCAGAATATCTGGGCGATGCTGGATTCTATTAAGATGAAACCCCTCAACTCTAAGTTACAACTAGCAATGGGGCCATCACTCCCCAAGCCAGCCTTGGAGCCTGTGTATTCAGGGACTTCCTGGAGCACGTTCTTACTGCCATTGTTGTATTTATATCAAGGATGCTCCTATGTCATCCCCTTTGGCCTGAAATGGTTCCAGGTGATAACTATTGACCTGTGTAACTACTGATGGCACCTTTTTTCACACAGGTGTCCTGGTTTGGACAATGAGCTATACTCTTACTCAGAGAAGGTGCACCATAGGCAGGTAACATTGGCAAAGCAAAAATTGGCTTCTCCAGATTATACTTCTGGTTTTCCAACCAACTGGCAAGATAATCCTTGACAACAGAGGTTGGACACACTAGGAAATGAACTTAACTCTGACTGAAGTTGTATGTGAAGAAGAATTCTAAGGCCTATCTGGGCACAGCAGGGAAGAGTTTGGTGTTCTATCAGCAATTAGGATAAGGTTATAGGCACAGAAGGAGTGGGAAATGGCAGCCCATGTGCTCTGAATAAGCAACCCATCAATTAAATTTCCCTAGGTCCTTCCACTCTGATATTTGAGCTCTAAAATGATCAGAAAAGGACAATGCATAAAGCTATTTGTCATCCTGGTTTGTCCAGCCCTTTTTGTCCAGGGTTATTCTGCTATTTAGTAGTAGAGTTTTCCTGGCTAAGCAGAAAATCCAATCAATCCAGTTGATAATGAAGGATTAGAAGAAGGAAAATGTCCCTGCAAAGAACGACTCCATACAACCTCTACAGGAAGGTTTCCAGAAAGAAACCTAGAATCCATGGTATTCCCCACGTGGTGGCTTTTCCTGCTCCAAGAAAAGAAGGAGTATCAAGGAAATTTCTTTGTTCTCTTCTGTTTTTTTCCTGTAGAATAGCAATCTTAAGACTCAGTTAACACAGCAGAGTTGTCATTTTGTCTAAATAACCACTGCAAGTTCCTTCCTAAATCTGCTATTTGAGGTCAGTTTATGTGAACAGTGAAACACAGCTGGTTATTGTATTGCTGGCACATGTCAAAAGCCTAGTGCTATGGTGTGGACATGACTTGAGTGTGTCCCCCAAGAGTTCACATGTTAGGAGGTTGGTTCCAGTGTGATGATGTTGACATGGTAGGATCTTCAAGAGGTGGGGCATTCTGGAAAGTCATTACTGGCCCCTCCTCTGACTCTGGCTTCCTGTCTTGCTGTGTGATCTCTCCTCACACACACTTCCACCATGATGCCACCCACTATGAGGTAACTGAGCCAGGGGGACCCTCACCAGATCTAGTGTCATGCAACGTGGATTTTCAACCTACAAAGTTGTAAGGTAAATAAATCTCTTTTCTTTACAAATTACTCAGCCTGAGCTATTTCACAAGGTTAATGGAAAAGAAACTAATATACCTAGTATACAGATAAGCTTCATTGTCTATGTTTCTCTCATGAGACTGTGTATCCTAAAGTAGCATAGTGCATGTTCATGCATGAGTGATTTCATTCACAAAGACCCAGTTGATATTAAGAAGTCATGGAAGAGAATGACAGCAAAAGAAACAGGTAAATCCTAGAATAACACCAAAAGGAGGTACATGACATATCATATTTCATACATTAGATTGAAGTGGGTTATGAACTCCCAATTTTCACCCCAAATGCAGATTGCAGAATCACATCGGTTACACATCCACAATTTTACATAATGTCCTATTAGTAACTGTTGTATTCTGCTACCTTTCCTATGCTTTGTAATGTTGTGAACAACCAATAAAAAAAAAAGAAAAGAAAAAAAAAGGAGGTACATGAAACAATTTGCTTCTAACGTTTCATTCAATACTGGAATTAAGCTATTTAAACCCAAAGCTGCATTCAACTCACCTTGTTAAGCCGTTCAAGCATTTCTTTTAGCACCAGTTGACATTCACACTCATTTTCATACCTGAAAATGGGACACACAAGCAAGAGTTGGACCATTCCTATCATTTCATGTGTAGATCACACAGTCAGCATAAAGTTCTATCTGAGATAATACCACACCCTCTCCTCTAAGAAGTTACTTTTAATCTTAAAGAAGTAGCTAATTCTGCATTTCCTTGTCCACTGCTTCCCAAAGCTGTTCACATTATAGCACATGTAGAAAGTGGTAACATTTGCACACTGCATGAGAAAACTGGAAAAGATAAAAGGAACAGGAGTCTTCCAGCCTAGAGGCCCAAACTGCCCTCAACCATCTCCCACCCAGTCACTCTGAGGATAAAGGGTTTAAATCTTGGCACACCCAAGAGCAGCAGCAGCAGCGAGACAGAGAGGCCACCTGACACAGACTACAACAAACACCATCAACCTCACGTGGATTTCATATACTATTTTATTCATTGACATGTTTCAATTTTTCTAGATTGTGCCATTTAATGCTCATAATACCTGAAAAAGAGTTGCTAACTCTGTGTGAAAGATTAGGAAACCGAGGCTGAGAAAGTTGTCCAATCTCTTAGGTAGATGCTGCTAGCACTTTACCCTTATTCTCATCCTCACTCCTTCCATGCAAAGATCTCCTCTAGGAAACTACATTTTCCAGTCTTCCTTGAAGTCATGTATGGGCCATGTGACTAAATCCTGCCCAACAGGGTGGAAGGGTTGTGTGGCAACTTTCAGGTATAAGCAATGGGGTAGGTATGTTCTTTGCCTCTTTGCCAGCATCCACTTGTCTATCCTACAGCCTGGAATGTGACTGCTCCCTTCTTCCTCCTCCTCCTCCTCTTCCTCTTCTTCTTCCTTTTCCTCTACTGCTACTTCTTTTTTCTAAAGTCCTGGGTCCCCAGGGCCTTGCACATGCTAGGCAAGTGCTCCACCACTGCACTACATCCCCAGCCCTTTTAAAATTTTAGTTTGAGAAAGAGTCTTGCTAAGTTTCCAAGGTTGGCTCCAACCTGCAGTTCTCCTGCCTCAGCCTCCCAAGTCACTGGCATTATGCACCATCGCACCCAGCTGACTGCTGTCTTCTTGAAGGCACACAGAGCCTTTTGGGTTTCAAACACTGTAGAGTGCCATTCTGAATTGCTCACCCACACTTTGCCCAAGAGAAAAACAAACTTCCATCTTGAGAAAACCAATGTTGTATATTTATTGTTACTGATGTTTGATGGTAAAATATATATAACATGAAATTCACCATCTTACCCACTTTTAAGTGCACAGTTAAGTGATATTAAATACATTCATGATATAGTACAGCCATTTCATAACTATTTTCATAACTCTTTTCATCTTGCAAGACTGTAACTCTGTACCCACTAAATAATAACTTCTCAACTAACATTCACTTTCTGTCTCTATGAATTTGACTACTATAACTACTTTATGTAAATGGAATCATATGGTGTATGTCTTTTTTGCAACTGGCTTATTTCACTTAATATGATTTACTTAAGGCTTATCTATGTTGTAGCATGTGTCAAAATTTCCCGCCTTTTAAAAGCTGAATATATTCCAATCTATTACATACTATATTTGCTTATCTATTCATCTGTCAATGGACACATGGGTTGCTTCCACATTTTAATGACTGTGAATAATGTTGCTAGGAGCATGAGTGTATAAATCTCTCTTCCTGCTGTCAATTCTTTTGAGTGTACACTGACAAGTGGAATTGCTGCATCACATGGTGATTCTGGTTTTCAGTTTTTGAGAAACTGCCATACTGTTTTCCATAATGGCTGTACCACTGCACATTCCTACCAACAGAGCACAAGTGTTCCAATGCCTCCCTACCCTTGCAAATGCTCATTATTTTCTGTCTTCATGATAGTAGTGATCCTAATGGGTGTGAAGTAGACCTATGTCACTTCAAATGTCATTTTGGAGTCTATGTCATTTCAGTTGAAACCAATCCTAATTAACACTGAGCCAAGCCTACAAGCGGATCTTTCTCTGCCCTTGCACTCCCATGCCATGGGTTCAAGCTAAGTGTTTCACAGAAATAGCACGTGTTGGAGAGCCACACTACTGTGTTCTCAAAACTAGAAGTCCTAACTGGGAATATGTACATTATGCACACATTCCCAATTTTAAGGTCATCTGAGAAGCTCAGCTATAACTGATAGGTTAGACACCTTTCAACAAGGTTTATATTTCACATCAGGATGTCGCATGTAACCATTTATTTTGGGTGTTGCTCTAATAGAGTCAGAAATCATTTTTTAAATGGGTAATTAGGTTTGAGAATAAAACTGTTAACAAAATCTAATATTCTCATTGCTTTTTCCTGAAACAGTAAAGAGTTTCTTTAGCTTAAAAATGTTTGATAATCAATATAATAACATAATCTCATAGGTAATTTTCATGCTGTAAAAACCAGTTTAGATATTATATAAATGAGAAATTTCATTACACAAAATTCATGATAAGAATTCATATAATCATATATGTGATTTCACAAAGTGAAAACAAATACTTCCGCTTTCATTAACTTGATAGTTTTATATAGATTATTTTTCGTACTCAGCAATTTGGAGAATTGACTCTATTTATCATTGGATTTTGGTAGTTGTATTTGTTTTTATTATTCTTGTTTCATTAGTCTTTGACATTATAGAAACTTGATTTTGAAATTAGTCAAGTATCAGGTGGGCTGATACTTGTGGCTCAGTGGTAGAGCACTTACCTAGCAAGTGTGAGGCACTAGGTTCAATCCTCAGCACCACATAAAAATAAATAAATAAAATAAAGTTATAACAAAACAAACACAAAAAAGTATCAGTAAAGAACATGCCTAACACTGCCATGGGGCAAAATACACTCGTCCCCCTTTCTGCATGACTTTCCCTCTCTTTTGGCAAGCATCTATGAAAGACCTGATTCCAGTTCACTAGCTCTGCGACCTTGTCCTAGATTTCTACATGTTCTGATCCTCAGCCTTTTCTGTAAAATGAGGCAGTAAAGATAAGGCTGTGAGGATTAAATAACATTGATGTATCTGAAAAACACTGCTGAGTGAAAAAAGCCAGACATACAAAAGTATATATTGTTACAAAATCCTAGAACAAGCAAAATTAATCTATGGTGATAGAATAGTGGGCGCCACTGTTTTGGGAATGAGAACTGCCTAACTATAAAAGAGCAGGGGTTAGGGAACTCTCTAGGGTAATGGAAATTCTTTCGCATTTTGGTAGTTTCACAGGCAGGTACATACGCACTTTTGTCAAAATTCATTGAGCTACGCATTTATAATCTATGCATTTTAAGTAAATTTAAAATGCATGTAAAATATTTTGTAAATTTAAAAATACATGACAAGTAAACGGTATCAACCATTTGTGTAAACGGTAAAGTGCCATCAAAAACAGAAATCAGGGGACACCTTAAAGAGATTACCTAAGAAATTAAAACTCCTATCTAGTTGCTCAATGGAAATGTATCCAGCTAGGGAAAAAAAATGGCAATTCATTATTATTTTTGACCTTTTTCAATTGTACTTCTGTGAATATTTTAATACATCGTTTTTAATTTCTGAAGAAAAAAGAAAAGAACAGAAATCAGACTTAAGGAAAAGCGCCACCTGTGTACTCTCTGCAGAGATGGCGTCATTGGTGGCGGGAAGGAGATCAAAGTCGGTTCCCCACCCCTTAATGGCATCGTTCTCCCTGACCTGCACCGCCAGAGCACCCACGCCCTGCCTCGGTTTCCCTCCACAGTCGCCGCTTACTTGCTCCGGAACTCGTCGAGCGCGCGCTGAGCCTCTGCGCCCTGGCGCTCCAGCCGAGAGCGCTCGGCCGCCAGGTCCCGGGAGCGCTGGCGATTACCCTCGACGTAGCGGGCGAGGGCGTCCTCCGGGCCGGTCAGCTCGCCCAGGCGCTGGAAGGTGTCCAGCTGCCGCCGGAGGCCGGCATGGCGCTGCTCGAGGGCGCGGGCCCGTTGGATGTGAGCGGCCACGCGCTCGCCCAGCCCTTGCAGCGCCGCCAGGCTCGGCGCCCCGATCTCGGCCGGGCGCTCGGGCTCAGTGGCGCGCGGCGCCTCGTCGGCGCGCTCATACTGCTCCTGGCGGGCCTGGAAGACGTAGCTGCGGCGGTACATGGTTCCTCTGCGAGCGAGAGGGCCAAGCCGGCTCTCCAGGAGGCCGGTGGCCGAGCCAGCAGCCTGCTAAATAAACATCGGAGGCCCCCGGCTTGCCGCTGGGACGTTCCAGAGCTGATCAGCAGTTGAGCTCTACTGGGTGCCCGGGCGCGGGACAATAAAAGAGCAGCAGCCCGCTTTTTGAGCTGGATTAGCGACCCATACAACTCTAGGGTTGGAAGGTTAAATTGGGCAATGAGGTTTTTGTTCTGTGATTGTGAAGGCCTGTTGCTTTATGATTGAATGGAGGGTCAGGGGGACAAGAGAGGTATGACGTTCTTTTGATTGGTTCCACTGAGAATTGGGAAGGCAACCCAAGGCAAGCTTATTAAACTTAATTCCCTCAAGATCCAGGCCTGGCGCTTTGTCTCCTCTTTCTACTCTCAATTATAGCACTAAACAATAACATTTTTTTTCTGATTATTTAAACAATTTCCTTCCATAATTATTGAGGAATCTTCTCTATCGAAGAGGTTTCTAACCATGGATGCAAATAAAATGGCATATCTCAGTCAGTGGGGAGGTGTAGTGCAGGTAATTTCTTACTAAATCTTGTGCATTTTGTGAAGAATCTACTCTTTGCACAATGTCTCAGGACATAGGCCTGCGATGTAATTATGTCACATTACTTCAGTGGATTTTTGACATACTCAAGTGGAAGAAACAAGTGGAACTTCACCCATGACATTGCTAATAGGTTCTTGAACTAAAGAAAGATCCTTTCAAGCCAAAGATTTAACAAATTAGCCAACACTCAAGCAGACTTTTGCCACTGTATTTCATTTTAATTTTTATTATGGAAATAGCAGATTTTGATGACAAGCTTTTAATTAAATATACATACATACATAACTTAATAGCTAGGCTTTGACCAATTTAAAAGTAAGTTGTGGTGCTGAAAGAAATTAGTACCATTTGGTTAGAAAGTTCTTGAATAGAAATATTTTGTCAGAGCTCCAGTGTAAAAAAAATCGTTATCAAAAGCCTCGTTTTCTTAAAAACAAGGATTAGCAGCACCATATAATTACCAACTACATGGACTGCACATAATTATACTATAAATTAAAGTCATAGTTATCAAAGAAAGAAAATTACATTGATCTTTGTTGAGTTTTTATTACTCCAAAAAGCCTGTAAAATCATTAATTTGGTCTGTAATAAAGCTATGTAAGACTCTAAACTGCTAGTGCTGTGGTTTTTGTTCTATTTTTCTTCCCATAAGCTACTTAAAAATAGATTTCATGGTCAAATCGAAGAAGGCCACATGAGTACTTTTGTAGGTATGCTTATATCATGCTGATGGCATGGACTTTAGACTTCCTAGAGAGCAAAATTAAATTTGATAACAAAAATTATAAGCCTTTCATTTTTTTTGACAGCATGTATCAGTCTGATATTGTTACAGAACAAATTGCCCCCCAAACTATGTGTCACATAATAAGAAGTATTTATCATTATGCTCCAGGCCTGTAGGTCAGCTGGATGACTCTCCTTCCAGATATGGGTCTTCTGATCAGCTGAGGCAGCTCTGTTCCAAACACCTCTTGTCCTTCTGAATTAGCAATGACAGAAGCACATGAGCAAGCTCATGCCAAGACTTTTTTTTGCAACATGTCCATTGGTCAAAGTGAATTGAGGGGGACATGGCCAAAGTCAAGAGTAAAGGCAGAGGTGTGACTCACTGAGGCCTTGACAAGAATGTGGTATATAGCCCAATAATACTGGAATGAAGAATCAGGAGAACCCAATCTACCCTAGGGAATAATCCCATTGGAGACATATTTACCCCAGAAATATAATAACAGAAAAAAAAAGCATCTCCATTTAATCCAGTGGAATAAACACCTAGAAAATATCCACCCAGAAATTATAATTTCAGAGGGTTAATTGTTGAACAATGTCAAGTGTCTGCCCTCAGGGTGCAGGAGACAAATCCATACCCAACTGATTAAAACACACAAAAAAAATTCCAGAATGAGTTTTAAAGTAGAGATTTTAACAAAATTCTGTGGTTGTATCAAAGAAAAAGCAGTGAGTAGTGAGTGGGTAGGTGGACAACTCAGAGGAACAGAGAACAGCGTAAATGAGAAGATGTGGGAGGAACTGATTTCAGAAACAGCACAGTGAACACTAGGCTCCCCGCACAGAGTGAGGCTGACTCAAGGGGTGCATAACAACAGGATCCCAAAAGCAAAGATCACAAAAAGAACTAGCCTTCCAACTGGCTGCACACTACATCGGATATGAACATTATCATCATTCTTCCCAACCCCCACCAAGAAATGGCAGCCTGGCAATTTAAAAAAAAAAAAAAGATTACATCTCTACAGAAGAATGGAAGAAAAATCATAGTGGACAAGATATGTCAACAAGCTTTCAGAAAGCTGAATAGATATAGGTCCATGGTAACTGACGGCCGAGTATAGAAAACAAAAACCTAAGAGACTGCAGAAGGGAATAGGAACAAAAACTGCTGGTTCTTGCCAGAGAATCTGAGAAAAGCTCAGGATTTAGATGCATTGATATTTTAGAAGGTGGGGTGTGAAGCAGAGCTGAAAAACCAGAGGGTTGACTGAGCACCTGGACAAGAACCAATTCAATCCTTTAGATCCCCTTCTTCATTCCTGCACAACAGCAATTGAGCAACTACCCAAGCCTTATTGTGACAGGTCACCTGGAAGGTATTCTGCAGTGAAATTGAATGGGAGAGGTCCTGAGTTCAGGATCACCAGACACAGCCAAGGGCAAGGATGAGGCCAAATATTAAAGTAAAGCAATTAAGGAAGCAGATGCATAGTGAAGGATGAGGCACAGCTGTACCTTCCCCACTACTCAATTACCAGCCCACTTCCCAGCATGCTGGTCGCCTAGTATGTCTTTCTCCAGGCAAGAGATTTGGCATCATTCTCTAGAGTAACTGAATGACTTCAGAGAAAAGCTCTCCAGCAACTTCTGAATTTGGAAATGTTTACTGCTTGGCTTTTGGTTCCAACATGGAATATAGTTGTGTGGTCTGGGGGAACTCAGACTGAAGCCATTGATCATCAAACCAAAACCCATTTTGTAATAAAATTTTACTTGTTACAGCATAAGGTTTTAAAAAAATCTCCCTTTTCCACTTCAATATGTTTGAAACTTAAATTTTCCCCAAAAAGTATAGGTTCACCAAGATTTACATAATTTTCATTGTCCTGCACCAGGACAATGGTACTATCATGATATCCTGACCCCATCTATTTAAAGTATAAATATTTCTTATTAGAATTTTACTATAATTAGTAGGATTTTTTACCTCATGTGAGAAAAGATAGTTAATTGATGAAATGTAAAAGTATGACAACCAGGCTAATCTATAGCTGGATCTCCCTTCTAATTGTTGTCTTAGTTTGAATTCCTTAAAACAGACCCTGAGACAAGGTCTGTGCAAATACAGTTGACCCTCCACATCAGCAAATTCTACATCCACAGGTTCAAACAATCACAGATGGAAAACACTCAGAAAAAAAAAATGTGTTTGCAGTAAGCAGGTACATTTTCCCCTGCCATTATTCCCTAAACAATTTAGGATAACACTTATGTATGTAGTATTTACATAGCATTGCAGATTAAACTACCTGGACATGATTTAAAGTATGCGGGAAGATGTGCAAAGGTTATATGCCAACACCATATTTGATGAAAGAGACTGGAACACACTTGGATTTTAGTATCTGAGGGGGTCTTGGAACCAATCTCCCGTTGAAACCAAGGGATGAGTATAGTTTATTTGTGAGGTGATCCCAGGGAACATGGGTAGGGAGGTGGAGAGGGAGATAGAGAAGGAAAAGCATGGCGTGTGATCAAGCAAGCTACCATCTTGGGAAAACAGAGATTCTGGTAACACTATAAGTAGTCACCTGAGTGTTACACTACCCAGTTGGTGAAGGGGCCAGAGATTTACCCACAAACTCCCACGGTTTAAGGGCTGATCAGAGGGGCTGTTAACTTCCTTGCCACACTTGTCTGCCAAAAGTGGGGACCAAATGGACTCTGCGTGGATTCCAAATGCCAAATGAAGTCAGGACAGAAAGAAACAGCTCTTGGCAATGGGAAGATGAACTAGCACAGATGGAAATGGTCAAAGGTTGCTATCGATAGATAGATTATTGTATACCCCACCACCACCAACACACACACACACACACACACACACACACACACACACAAATTTGAATATAAATATCTAATCCACACAATGTGATGGTACCAGGAGGTGTGGATGTTGAGAACTGATTAGGTCATAGAACAAAGCCTTCATGGATGGAATTAGTGCCTTTGTAAAAGAAGCCCAAAGAAGTCCAAGGAAGCTTGTTGGCCCCTTCTATCATGGGGAGGACACAATGAGAAGACTGCAATTAGTGGATCAGGAAGAAGGCCCTCTGCAGTGCCTTAATCTTGAAACATCCCAGACTCCAGAAATGTGAGAAATACATTTCTGTTGTCTAAGCCACCCAGACTATGGTGTTTTGTTTTAGCTCGTGGTATATGTCCATCTAAGGTCAACTATGATCTTTGTTCCACATCCTCTTTAGTCCAACACCCAGGCTATTGGAGCAGCCACTACCTGGACCACTGCTGATCATCTTAAAGAAAAGGCATGGAGTGGCATTTAAAATTTCCTCACAATCACACTGAATTGGCCAAAGCTAGTCATATTGTGGCCCCATCTAACTTCAAGTACATTGACAAATGCAATCCTGCCACATGCCTACAAGAAGAGTGAGCATATTTGTCAAAAACCCCAAAACTCCATTGCTGGTGGGAGAGTATTCAATAAAAATAGCAATCAATTGCATGAGGAAGAAATCACCGGTGAATGAATTTGTTAATTCAAAAGCATGTTTGTAGACAGCGGTTCCATAGGGTTTGATGAATGGTCAGCTATAGAAGAGTTCCCTAAATACAGCTGAATGGTACTAGTGTGGGGGTACTGGTGGAAAATGGATGTTGTTAAAATTGGAAAGGCTCAAGTTTAAACTCGGGTCCTATCACTTTGGTAAGTGAATTAATCAAT